AGAGTGAAGTCAGTGACCTCCATATTTAGCCACTTCAGCACCGGGGAACTTTACCAAAGAAACCCAACAACTTGAAATGCGTTTCACCATGAAACTTACCAAACTTGGGCCAAGAACAGCCTGGGCCACTGGCATTGTGACTCAAAGCTCCATCTCCCACAGTTGTGTGTGTGGATTTCAGAGTTGTTTTGTACTATGTGTGTGTGTTTGTGTATCCATCCATGTGTACAGGTGTTCCTGTGCCAGTGCACACACATGTCAGAGGACAGCTTGAGGTAGTCTGTTCTCTCCTTCCACCAAGTGGAACCTTGGGATTGAACTCAGGTTACCAGGCTTGGCAGTAATGCCTTTACCCACTGAGCTTCTCCTACAGCTGTTGGTTGCAGTTCAACCACATGAAGCAGCCTGTGAAAACAAGATCTCCTGACACCTTGCTCTAGTGAGTGGGTGCCAAGGTTGGGGGAGGTTTTGGTTTGAAGCATCACTAGTTAAGGTGGTGAGATTGATGACTAGAAGGATGGGCAGAGATGCCCAGCCCTGGGTTGTGGACCTTTTTGTGTATCAGCTGGAACAGGACTCTGAGGAGCCAGCACGGCAGAGCTATGACCTCCAGAGCACACAAACGACCCATGAAGCATTTGTTCCAGCACTTCTGTCTAGATTCTTGAGGGATAACTACAATACTTCCATTTCATGCACCAACTCTGGCTCTTACAATCTTTCCACCCTCTCTTCTGCAATGGTCCCTGAGCTGTGGCCATGGGTGGGTGAGGTTTAATATAAGAGTCCTATTCAGGAACACACTCTGATATTTTTTTTTAAGTATCAAAATTCCCATCCACTACTATGCACTTTGACCATCCAACACTGCAAATAAATCTACAAAACCCCTACAATCTCCATAGGATTTAACTTCACTGGTATTTTAGTAGATTTACAAAGTCCAGCCATCTCACAATCTAATTGCAAAATGTTTCCACCACCCCAACAGGAACCCCATGCAAGTCAGCAGTCACATGCCCTCTGGTTCAGCCTTTGTTCCCTCTGACAACCACCAACATAATTTCTACATTTATGAATTTACCTACGAGTATTTGCTATAAATGAAACTGTATAGGGAAGGGCAGGTAGAATGGCATGGGCACTAAACTGCCTGCTAAGCAAGCATTAGGACTGGAATGCAGATCTCCAGCACCCATGTAAGAAGCTGGGTGTGGTGGCACTCTCATGCAATCCCAGCACTGGGGAGGCAGAGACAGAAGGATCCTGGGAGCTTAGCCAGCCAATCTAGCTGAAACGTGAACTCCAGGTTCAGTGACATCTTGTCTCAAAAACTAAGGTGGAGAACAACAGAGGAAGACACTCTATGTTGACCTCTAGCCTCCAGCACATGTGCACCCAACACATATGTGCATACATGTAAACACATACACTACATACAAAATTAAAAGAAATCAAATTATTATATGTGATTTGTTTCTTTCACTTTACATATGTTCAACGTTGTCCGTGTTGTGGCATACATTGATACTTCATTCCTTTTATGACAGGATTTTTATTACATGGTTCTTGTAGAACTCTGTATTCCAGGCCTGACATGGCTATTGCCATCTTGAAATCATAGCAACAGTAATTACTCCCCATGGGACCCTCACAAGAATAGGCCCATAAATATTCCCTTGTAGAGAGTGAGGGCTCATGAGACCCCTCTAGGAGGATATGTAAGCAGTTAACAATTGCTGGGGAGGGAGACCACTCTTTGATGTAGTTGCTCATGTTCCTGCAACTTTAAACTCAGTGGTTCACTATACTAGACTTGTGTGCAATCGTTTCTTTGGTCTGTTGTTTGTGTCATCTGGGGTGAATACCTATTTGTTCATGTCTCCTCAGGAAAAGATACATAATAGTGGTCATGTCCATTTATTATTTATTTATTTATTTATTTATTTAATTTATTTATTATTTATGTCTTTTTGAGACAGGGTCTCCCTGTAGCCCTGCCTCTTCCTCCTGAGTGCTGAGACTAAAGGTATGTGCCACCATGACTGGCTACCATGTCCCACTTTAAAATCATTCTTTAGTAGATGGGCATTTAGGTTGTCTCCAACTTTGGCTATTATGAATGGTGCTGATATCAGCACCAATATCAGCATCACTACTCACGTACAAGTGTTTGTATAAATGTTTTCATCCGACTCATCAGCAGCAAGCATTCTTAACTGTGGAGCCATTTCTCTGACCCAAAACATTTTAGCTATTATCTATCTATCTATCTATCTATCTATCTATCTATCTATCTATCATCTATCTATCATCTAGCTACCTATCTTTTATTTATGTCTCTGTGTGAGAGTATCATGTGTGTATCACAAATGTATCACCTGTGTGTATGGGTGCATGGGCCCATGCAGATGTGGGGGCCAGAAGAGGGCCCCCAGGGCCCCCTCTATGTGCTTATTCTTTGAGGGAGGGTCTTTTCCTCAACCTGGGACTTCAGTTTTCTTGGTTAAGCTACAAGCCAGCAAGCCCTAGTGACTGTCTCATGTAGCCACCTCCACATCAGCTCTATTACAGGCATGGGTAAGATACCAGCTTGTTACACGGGCTCTCAACAGCAGCCCTCAGGATTGTACAGCAAGTGCTCTTTCCATTGAGTCATCTTTCCAGCCCCTATTTTAATTTTTTAAAAACAATATCTATCTGGGAAGTGGGTACAAAAATAAATAAATAAATAATAAATAAATAAATAAATAAATAAAATAAATAAATCTTAAAAAAAAGACAAATGGTCCAAGAAAAATAAAATCACTTACACTTAAAGAGAAGTTATTACCAAAAGTGAAGGTGGCTGCCCTTGATGGTGGTAGACTCAGGACTGACTGTGCTCATGACAAAGGTCAAGGCATTGAGAGAAAAAGAGGAAGAACCACCCCATAGGAGAGAAGAATTATAGCACCTACTCCTCCAAGCAGGTTTACCTGCCTACCTTGCTGACTTAACACAGACAGTTTAGGTGTGGTATTCTCTACAGCTCTTCTGTGCTTGAATTCTTGTAGGCGGTATATTCAAATGGAGACTCTGTCCTCCAATCCCCCACCCCCCCCACAAGGAAACGCACACAAAGCACAGCCAAAAATTCTGATTGAATCTGGTTTTGTTCAAAGTTTCAATGCCTTTTGTGAGTAAATAAAATTGTGCTTGTAACATGAAACAAACAAACAAACAATGTTTATAATGCAGTTGGAGAGATGGCTCAACAGTTAAAGAGCACTGATTGCTCTTCCAGAACAATGGTTACACCCTGGAAGAAAATCGGCTCTCCCACCCTTAGCAGTCATTAATTATCAATGACTCCTCAGCTAGGACTGGGGCCTCATAAGCCTCCTCCTCACTCCATTCATGCTGGAATGTTGACGTCTTGAATTTATGCACATCTAAACCAAAATGTTATTATTTCTTTCCTTATAAAGGCAATGCTTGTTCATTGTAGAAAGTTTGGAAAGTATGGAAAACCCCAAATGAGTAAAAATTATTCATAACACTCAAAGTGTTAACATATTTGCACATATGGGGATCCAAGCACAACTTTGTAGAGTCTCGGTTCTATTACATGGGTTTGAGAGATCGCACTCATCTCCACGGACTTGTCAGGCAAGCCCCTTTTCCCGCGGAAGCATCTTGCTGCCCCCAAAGTAAACATTTTTGAAGAGTTGAAAAATAGATTATGCAAAATCTTGAGACTATTGCTTTTTAAAAGATTATGTATGTGTGCACGTGTGCAGGTGCAATGGAGGCCAGAAACTATGTTAGATAAAAAGGTGACAGGGGTCGGGATCACAGCAAAACAGAAACAAAGAGGACTGTGGCAAAGCGAGAGTTTAATTGGGTTTGGTGGGACTGGTCCTCAACTAGGGTGTGAGGAAGAACTAGCAGCCTAATGGCTGCAGGAGGGTAGCTTATAAGTGACAGAATGTGGAAAAAGAGAATATTTTTCTGTTGTTTGGGACTGTTTTGGGGGCTGCTTGCTCAGGGAGGATGTGGGGTCTGTACCTTGTGAAACTTATGGAGGAAAACATCTACTGTAAAATATGTTTTCTACAATTACAGGGTTCCAGGAATTAATTGCAGCTAAGGGTTTAAAAAACCTGTTTGTCAGCCTGTAGAGCATGCTCTAGTGATCACAATATATTGGTCATTAATTTCCTGGAGCTGCTTTAGTTAACTTGCAGGTGGCTGGGAGTTGGTTGACTTAGTTCCTCTTAGGGGCCTTATGGTTTCCGGGTCTGGGGTCACCTGGATCTGAACCCTATCAAACTGGTTCCTCTGGAGCTGGAGTTATGGTGGCTTTGAGCTCCCCCTCCCCATACAGAGAGGCTGGGAGCCAAACTGGTGTCCTCTGGAAGAGCAAGAGCTCTTCATCACTAAGCCATCTCTCTACTCTCAAGAACCTATTTTTAAGTATTTTGGTATATCATTTTCTAATGAAATATAAAAAGATATTTTGGGGATGAGGGTTATTCACATACATTAAAAAAATCGTAATCGTAAATACACATGTATTTATAATGTGTTTTAACTATGTACCTTTACGTTTCTCATGTAATATAGGGTTTATGAATTTTTGCAAAGGTAATTACAAAAACTACGAATTTTTAAATATATCGTATTCACAGGCGTCTGACAGTATTTAATCGTCTCTAGGTTGTTCCACTTTCAGGCAAAATTAAATTCATTTAAAAAATTGTCTTCGGTAGCGCAGGTCTCTAATCCCAGCACCTGTTATTCAGAGGTGGGCGGATCTTTGTAAGATCGTGGCCAGCCTGGTCTACACAGCGAGTTCCAGGCCATCTTCTGTGGCACAGCTTGACGACCCGTCGCTCTAAGCGGACGCGGTCCTGGACTGCCCCGGGGCGGATCCCTGGGCGGTCAGCGGGACACTGCATGGAGGGAGCCTCCGGACGCAGCGCGGCGCACGGTGATGACGTGACCGCAGGCCCCGCCCCGTCTCGCCGCTGGCAACGGAGCTGCGTCACGGGTGTTCGGCGCTGAGCTCCTGGAGACTGCGGCTACTGCGGGCCCCAGAGCCGGCCCCGGCTCGCGGGGAGTTAGGTCGCCGGCGCGATGAGGCGCAGCAAGGCCGACGTGGAGCGTTACATTGCCTCGGTGCAGGGCTCCGCCCCGTCGCCGCGAGAGGTGAGCAGGTCTCGGAGGCCAGCGGCCTCCCCCGGCCCGCCGTGTCGGCGTCATGGCTCCCGGCGGCCTCCGCTCTCGGCGCTCTGGAGGCGCGGATCCGCGCCGAGGGTGGCGTGGCGCTGCTGAGCTCCTAGAGGCAGGAGGAGTTCGTGGCCGCCGCCGGCGTTTGCTCTTCTAGTGGTTCCGCACCGCCCTACCTCGCGGGCCCACTCGGGCTAGGCCGCCTGGGCTCGGCGCGCGGTAGGCCCTCGTGGCCTGCTCCGGAGGGCCGCGCTCTGCGGGTACACGTCGGGCAGGCTGCTGCGGCCTCCGGGATAGCTAGGCCCTGCGACAGAGGAGCGCCGCCTCGGCCGGGAGGCTGACGCAGCTGTGGTGGACTTTTATCAGTGTGCTTGACTTCGTGGACATTTAGCGGACCGAAGCGGGGACAGCCACTTTGCGACGGCCTATCAGTGCGAAAGACCCGAGAAGGCCTTTAAGCTTCCGTAGCTGTGTCCCGTTCCTTAGTTCCCCCATACCTCTTTGGGAAATTTTGGAAACGGCTTTTTTTTTTTTTTTTTTTAATTGAAGACGAAAAGTCAGAATTTTAAATTTCTTAGACTTTTGCAACTATGACACATATATATTTAAAGGTTTTTCCTAAAATGCTTAGAGGGGATTTTCTTTTAACTGTTGAGCATATTAAATGTGTTAGATTTTAGATTCCTCGTGCAGAGAATCTGGAGTCAGTTTTCTTGGAGTTGAATAAGCAAGCTCTGCCGTTTGTAAATTGTAGTTTGGGGCAAGATACACTTTTCATTAATAGATTTATGGTATTGGTAGCATTAACAAGGATGATTCTGGAAAACATTAGGGCAAAGCTTGATAATATAGTGAGCCCAGGGCCTCAGTTCATTTATTACAAACATGCAGTTCAATGGTGTTTGGTATTTTATTTTTTTTTAAGTTCTGAAAAAAAATGTGTAGCGTTGTCCCTAGTACCCGTAGGGATTGATTTTATGATCATACATACATACCAAAATTCATGGTTACCAGTCTCTTATTAGAGTGATAAACTTTATGTACTCTGAAAGGCTTGTACAGGTTAAATATCTCTAGTTGAAAACCAAAAATCAGAATCCAAAATGATTCAAAATCTCAAGTTCATTTAGTTCTGTTAATAATGCCTCAAGTGGAAAGTGTCACACCCAGTATCCTGTGGGTCAAAATTAAAATGTCAGGGCACAAAAATTGTCATGTGAAACTACCTTTAGGTTTATGTGTATAAGGTGCACATAAAACAAATTTATGTTTAGACTTGGGTCCTGTTCCTTAGATATCTTATGTGTATATAAATATTTAAAAATTGAAAAAAAAGAACCCTAATATCTAAAAATGCCAAGCATTTCAGGTAAGAAATAATTAATAGTACCTAATATGATGTAAATGTTGTAGTTGTTAAATTATTTCAGGAATAACAATAAACAAAGTCTCTACATATTCAATGCAGAATGTATTTTAAAAGAAATATTTTTTGATCCAAGATTGGTTGAATTGGTGAATGTTGACCTGGTGAGGGAAAACTAAGAAGGTTTGCCATTTTAACGAGTTTTAATTATTCACTTTGGGGACATTAACATTCATAATGTGTACAGCGATTAAATTTCCAAAGCTTTTTAAATTTTTTGATTTTTTAAAAAAATATTATTTTTATTTTATGTGTATGAGTGTATTGCCTGCATGTGTGTGAATGCACCTGTGTTGTGCAATGCTGCGGAGGTCAGAAGAGGGCTTCAGATTCCCCTGGACCTGGAGTTAAGGACGGATTGTAGTCATCATGTGGGTGCTGGGAATTGAACCTGGGTTGTCTGCAAGAGCAGTTAGTGCTCTTAACCACTGAGCCATCTCTCCAGCCCCTGGCTTTTTATTTTTATTTTATGTGTCTGAGTGTTATGCCCGTTGTGCAGTGCCTGAGGAGGCCAGAAGAGGGCATAGGATCCCTTGGAACTGGAGTTACAGGGTTGTGAGCTGCCATGTGGGTGCTGGGATTCAAACCTTGGTCCTCTACAAGAGCAGTCAGTACTCTGAACTGCTGAGGCATCTGTCTCTCCAGCCCCCAAAGCTTCTTTAAAAAATCACTAGCCAAGATCTGTAAGTAATCAGAAATAATGCCATAGGTCCTTCTTTGCCATACTATCCTGTGGAACCTCTATTTTACTTTTTGCAATTTATTTATTTAAATTTTTTAAATTTATTTTTATTTTATGAGTGTTATGCCTGCATGTATATACGTGCACCCATGTTGTGCAGTGCTTGAAGAGGCCAGAAGAGGCTGTCATATCCCCAGAACTGGAGTTAGAGAGTGTTGTGAGCTGCCATGTGGGTGCTGGGATTTGAACTTTGGTCCTCTTAAAGAGCAGTCAGTGCTCTTACCCACTAAGCCATCTCTCCAGCCCTTTTTGTATTTTGTGAATTTGATTATTTTAGATACTTCATATATGTAGGATCATACTGTATCTCCCCTTTTGTGTTTATTTCATCCAGCATATTTTCAGGGTTCATACATATTCCTTTTTATGGCTGAAAAATATGTATGTGAATATGTATGTATACTACGTTTTGTTTATTCATTCACTGTTTGAAACCTGAATTGTTACTCTCTTTCTTTGGTTTTGTTTTGTTTTGTTTTGTTTCGTTTTGTTTTGTTTTGTTTTGTTTTTTGAGACAGGGTCTCACTATGTGGCTCTGGCTGGCCTGGAAAGCGATATGTTAGTAGGCCAGGCTGGCCTTGAACTCAGAGATGTGCCTGCCTCTTTAAGTGCTGGGATTAAAAGGTATGCACAAACAAGCCTGGCTGTTTCTATTTTTTGCCTAATGTAAATAATGTAGTGAGCTTTGGTATACAACTGAGTGCTTGAACTTAGTTCCTAGTTCCCTTGAGATGACACTTTGGAATATGTTAATTCCATGTTTTCTGAGGAACCTCCAAACTTGTTTTCTGTAGTGACTATACTATTAAATACCTCCTGGAAATTTATGGAGTTCCAATTTCTCCATATCCTTGCCAGTGGTTCATTTTGTTTTGTTTTATAAGTTAATTATCTTACTACATTTTATTTTTCTGTGTGTATGCATGCCTGTCTGTGTATGAGTTCACTTGTGTGGAGGTCAGAGGACAGTTTGCTGGAGTCAGTTCTCTTCTACCATGTGGTGGTTCTTTTTTATTATGTGGAGTCCAGGGATGGAACTCGGGTTATCAGGAGTGGTAGCAGGCAAGCAGGCACCTTTACCTGCTGAGCCATCTCTACTGCCCTAAGTTAATTATCTTAAATCTGATTACATAATTTACAAATTTGTATTAGTGTTAAATATCTGCTACTTAAATGATTCTAATGACCTTACAAAAGCACCACCAATCATACATACACAGTAGTTGTACTGTTTTGTATGTTTTTTGAATATTGAAAGATAATCCTGGATTATAATTTAGTCTGATTTAGTTAAGAATGTGAAAGTAAAATTTAACTTGCTCTTCTGTCTTGTGCTGATTTTTCAAATATGATCTTTTAAATCATCTGTAAAGTTGGATAGCAGAAAGAGGTTTTAATAAATTAAGATTCTGTAACACCTAAAAGCTGAGTGTGGTGTCTCATGCTGATAATCCCAGCACTTGGAAGCTGAGATAGGATTATTCTTGAGTTCAAGGTCAACCTGGGCTAGAGTGAGACCCTGCCTTAAAAAAAAAAAAAAAAGAGGGGTCAGAAAGGTAGCTCAATAGTTAATTGTACTTGGAGAGGACCTGATTCTCAGCATCCATGTGGCTGCTCACACCTGTCTGTAATTCCAGATCCTACATCTTGCTGCTGTATTTATGTACATCCAGGCAAAACACTCATACACATAAAATAAAAATAATAAATGGTCTTTTTTTTCCTAAAGATTCTGAGAAGTGAGGGCTTTCCAACCTGGAGAAAAAGATGAATTGTTTAGTAGATGTCTTCTTTAATAGACATTGCTTGAAAATTCATGGTTGGTTAATGACTTTAAAAAGAAAGGCTGTAGTCTTACAGGGCTTATACTGAGTTCAATATTGTATAACTGTATTAATTTCAACAGCTAACCTAAAAATTTTATAGTCCCTTTTGAAAGAGATGCATCTTTGCTCTGGAAACTGTTAATGAGTATGTTAAAGCTGTAATGAAATGCTTCTAAAAAAAAAAAAGGCTGTAGTCTACACTATTTGTAATAAGTGTCAGATTTCAAAGTAATTTTAGAGAAAATAGGGATGAGAGTTTATGGCTCTCAAATGAGAAAGACCTTTCTTAGGTCTTTTAATCACTAGAGAGTAAAAAGCAAAGAAAAGATTGTTTCCATTGCTTGAAAGTCAATCTTAAAACCCAGCGTGATGGTGCACGCCTTTAATCCCAGCACTTGGGAGGCAGAGGCAGATGGATCTCTGAGTTCAAGGCCAGCCTGGTCTACATAGTAAGTTCCAGGACAGATGGGGCTACAGGGAGACCCTGTCTCAAAAAAACCAAAAAAAAAAAAAAAAAAAGTCAATCTTAAGCCTGGTGTGGTGGCACAGGCCTTTGATCCCACCATTCAGGAAGCAGAGTCAGGTGGATGTCTGTGAGATGGAGGCTAACCTGGTCTACATATCCAGTTCTAGGCTTGCTGGGGCTACAGGAAGACACTGTCTCAAAAAACCAAACCAACCAACCAAAACAAAACCAAAACCAAAAAACCAAAATCCTTAAGAAATTAGTAACACCATCTTTTCTGTGCTTTCAAAATTATCAGCGATGGCAATATAGTTTAGAGAATTCTGTGCTCTCAAAATTAACAATGAAAATGTAGTCAATAGAGAATGTAATTATGCATAGTCTTAAGAAAAATGTCAAGCTGATTCAGTGGTCCTCTTCAGCATTGTAAATTAGCAGAGATCCAAGAAATAAAAATATTAGTTCTTAGACATTCTGAGTAGGAGAACAGATGGATATAAAGTTTATGAGGGAGAATAGGTAACATAGGGAAAACAAAATTTTAAAAAAGTTTTATCTGTTATTTTTATTTTATGTGTATGTGTGTATGTAGTGTATGAGTGTATTGCCTGCATGTAGGTAGGTGCACCCATGTCATGCAATGCCTACGGAGGTCAAAAGAGGGCCTCGGATTCCCTGGAACTGGAGTTACAGACAGTTGTTAGCTGCCATGTGAGTGCTGGGAATCGAACTTGGGTTCTCTGCAAGAGCAGCCAGTACTCTTAACCATTGAGCCATCTCTCCAGCCTGAAAACTGTAATTTTTAAATTGTTTGAACAAGTTATCTAACTTACCCTAAGGAAATCATGACTATACACATTTATGTGTACTTCAGTATAGAGTGCCACGCATCTGCCTAATGTTCTAAGTTCCAAGGTGGTAACCAAGTTGAAAGGATCCTACCCAAGTAGACCCTACAGTTTTACCCTGCAGTAAAAATAAGATTTGGATCAGTGTTTTCGAGAAAATAAGCAGGATGTTGTGACAAGTAACAATGAAAAAACTGAGTCAGAGAAGGGACAAGGAGATCAGCCATCTGAAACCACCAGAGCGTCACCTAGTGCTGTATTCTAGGTGTATTTTGAAGCCTTTAGTTAGAATGTCCTGATACTGGGTTAGATTCATTAGCTCATATACACACTGTTTCACCTTTTAGGTGAAAAAAAAAAAAAGAGGGGCTGGAAAGTTTTCCTTTTTTTTTTTTTTTAAGATAAGGTCTCTACCCTTTTTTTTTTTTTGAAGGATTGTTATGAAAACAGCCATCAGTAGCAGAGTAAAACTAACATGTCTTATGAATATCTAACCCAGTTCTGTTAGCAACAGTCCAATGATAAGTAAATTATCCTTCACAGAGCTAGGAAGAACTCACAGAAAGAATAATGGAAGTCCCTATGAATACCTGAACACCCAAAGCCACTGGTAACTTTTGTGACATCTCTTAAAACGAGAATGTCAGTGGTGGCACACGCCTGTAGTCCTAGAACTTGGGAGGTAGAGGCAGGTGGATCTCTATGTGTTCAAGGCTAGCCTGGTCTACATAGTGAGCTCCAGGCCAGCTGGGGCTACAGGAAGACCCTTTTTCAAAAAGACCAGAAAAAAACCAAGTGGATGTGGTGGCACACGCCTGTAGTCCCAGCACTTGGGAGGCAGAGGCAGGTAGATCTCTGTGAGTTCAAGGCCAGCCTGGTCTACATAGTGAGTTCCAGGACAGCTGGGGCTACAGGGAGACCCTGCTTCAAAAAGAAAAAAAAAAACAACAAAAAAAACCCAAAACTTAAAATGTCTGAAGGATTAGAAAGTTCCGTTTTCACTGTATTTATGGGGGAAAAAAAAAAAGATGAAGTGAATCTTTACTATTATACTGTTACACTGGAGTTTTCTGTCTACCTAAACTTGACTTGATATACCAATATTATTTAAAGTGAATCTTTACTATTCTGTTACACTGGAGTTTTCTGCCTACCTGAACTTGACTTGCTATACCAATATTATTACCCTTTTGGCAGCTGCACTGCCTGAACCCTCCCTGCTGGGGTAGGAAATAGGTGAGGTAGGGACACTTGGCTCTGGGAGGCCTTCTGCTTGCTCTATACTTGCCTTAACGCCTCACTGTGCCAAGCTAGTCAGGGTCATCTTTTTTAGCCAATTTCTTTCTGCCTATGGTTACTCCAGAACAGTTTATGAGACCTTTGGCTACTTTTTAGAAAATTGTAGTTACTTTGCTGTCTGCCCACCTTTGTTGAATTTCGTCACTTTTAACATGAAGAGTGCTGGACAGAAATCACATCAAAAGCATACTTGATTTTTGGCCTTTTCTTTTTTTGATCTTTTTTGGTCTTTTTTGAAGCAGAGTCTCCCTGTGGCCCCAGCTGTCCTGGAACTCACTATGTAGACCAGGCTGGCCTTGAACTCACAGAGATCCTCTTGCCTTTGCCTCCCAAGTGCTGGGACTACAGACAGGCCTTTGCTTTTCAGTAGATAGATGGACTCTAAGGACTATGCTAATTAGAGAGATACTTCTTGCTTTTATTCCTGGCGCCACTGTAATACCATGGGCAGATGAAGTGCTTTTGGAGAGATAAGCAGGTGCTTTGTCATGCGCATGTGAAATTTGGTTACTTTTGGTGCAATAAGAAAGTATGGTTTGTTCTAAGTTTTAAAATGCCTTCTCACTCACAGCAGGTGGTGTTGACACCTTGTGATTTCTGCTCCCTGTCAAATGTAAAAATAAAGGGAAAGCAGTGGTATAACTTATCTAAATGGAAGAAATGATTTTTTTCTCTTAAAATTTCTAGTTAAAATTTAAGGGCAATAATATACCTTTTCTGAAGAATGCCATTAAAATAATCAGCCAGAAAGTTAAAATCCAAAGTGAATAAACTCAGTGAAATGAGCTATTGCATTTAAACATAAACCTGAGTTTACAAATTGGCAGAAATCATTGTGTCATTTCCTGTTGTGGGCAATAAAAGTTTATTGTAAGAAATTAAAAACTTACAAAAATCTTTACAATTCAGAGATAATTAGCAATTTCATATATAACTACTAAATTGTACATTTGAAGTCTATAGGTAAATCTATAGACTACTTTTTAAACTAGATGTTTTTCCCATCTCTGTGTAGTCTTAAAAATATATTTGATAACCCTCCCTAAACTCTTCACATTAGAGAGAGCATAATCTTGTGTATAGCTGTATTTTGGACTTACAGAAATTAAAATCCAAGGTGTAGAATTGATTTACTCACTGGAAGAATTCAGATTTTGTTTTAGCCTTTTAAAATCCTTGAGTATAAGATACTGCTCTATAAAGAGAATAGTGCATGGACCAGGGAATCCAGTACCTTAATGGATCTGAGCTACTTTTTTTTTTTCCCCAAGGAAGATTTCACATGATGGGAAATAACTTAATTTCTGTTAATTGATGCTGGTAATGCATTACAAAGCATTCTTGCTGCTACATGGCTAAGGTTCCCTTGGCTTATCTGAGTTGTTTATGTCTTTCCATGTTTTAGGATTTTCCTTGCTATCTTTGCCTCAGGGCTTCATATAGCTCAGGCTAGCTTTGAACTTGCTATATAGCTTAGGATGGCCTTGCACTCCTAATCTTCTTGCCTCTACTTCCTGAGTGCTGGGATTACAAGTATGTACCACCTTACTTGAATTGTAACTTGTGATGTCTGGTTGTTTTAACTATTCTTATATTACTTTTTCTTTTTCCTTTTTTTTTTTTTTTTTTTGAGACGGTCTCCCTATAGCCCCAGCTAGCGTGGAACTCACTCTGTAGACCAGGCTGGCCTTGAACTTGAAGAGATCACCTGATCGCCTGCCTCTGCTTCTGCTGGGACTAAAGGTGTGCACCACCACGCTAGACTTGAATTACTTTTTATCATAAGAATTATAAAATCATGAATTTTAGAATACACATACATTTTTGGCAGGTAACATTTTTACCTTTTATATGAAAATATTTTAATATTTAACTTGTTAGGGTTTTTTTTTGTCCTGAAAAAGTTGTATGGTATTTCATATAGCAATTTATGAAAAATAAAACCATTCAATTCTTTTTTAGAAGTCAATGAAAGGATTCTATTTTGCCAAGCTGTACTATGAAGCTAAAGAATACGATCTTGCTAAAAAGTAAGTGCCAAACTGTAAACATGTTTTTATTTCTCATTATTGCCTTACCTCATAGTCTTTGTAATGGGAAGAACTGCTAAAGAACATGTTTTTATGTGTGTCCTGTATTCTAAAGGATTCATCATTCTCTGTTCTAGTTTGTTTCTTCATTACTGTGACAAAACACTCTTGACTGATCACTACCAACTTGGGGAGGAAAGGGTTTATTTAGCTTACATTTCTGGGTCACAGTTCATGAGGGAGCCCCCTGCTCAGCCTGCTTTCTTATGCAACACAGGCCCACCTGCCCAGGGGTGGCACCACCCACAGTAGGCTGGGTCCTCCCACATCACTCAACAATCAAGAAGATGCCCCATAGCCATAGGCCAGTCCAATGCAGAAAATTCCCCAATTGAGGCTCCCTCAACCCAGGTATGTCAAGTTGACACTAAAGCTACCCAGCACACTCTCAGACTAATAATGTTAGGTTGAGCCTAGAATTTGTATTTATTTACTTATTTTTAGTATTTTATTTTATGTGTATGTATTGCCTGCATGTGTAAGTGTACCCATGTTGTGCAGTGCTTATAGAGGTCAGAAGAAGGCGTTGGATCCCCTAGAACTGGAGCTATGAACGTCTTGTCAGCTGCCATATGGGTGCTTGGAGTTGAATCTGAGTTCTCTGCAAGAGCGCCAGTGCTCTTAACTGCTGAGCCATTTCTCCAGCCCCCAGAATTTCTTGTAGGCTGCTGTTTATATGTAGTGCAGAATTTATTTGGCTTAAAATAGTCTTTCGAAAATTGTCTTGGTAAAATGAAAGAGACTATTCTTGTACCTTAATTTCTTCCTGGTTAGATACCTGGTACTTCATTTAGCTGGAAAGAAACCACAAACACAAAATCTGTAATGTCTGGGCAGAGGAACAGCTTATTTAACAGTTCAGTACTTGCTAATTTGGATTTTTGTTTCATTGATAAGGCAAGAAACTTGGTGATTCTGATTTCATTACTTGGAGCAGCTTAAAGTAGGAAATTAGAAGGAAGGGAGGTTATTAAAAGCATTAATGGGAAGAGAGGAATGTTGATGAGAAAAGAGAGTGGGGCTGAAGATTTAGCTGGCTTTAATAGGATAGTTGTTGAGGTAATTGGGTACTTTTACAGAATCACAGTTACTTTATGTCCCTTTTAATTTCTTCACTCAGATGGGGGCAGTGGCTCTGGGTTTAATCTCTAGGACTTCCCCCACCCCCACTCCAAGGAAATGTGTTACCTTTTTTTTAAAAAATACTATTTTTATTTTATGTGTATGCGTGTATTGCCTGCATGTAGGTAAGTGCACCTGTGTCATGCAGTGCCTGCGGAGAACAGAAGAGGCTGTCAGATCCCCTGGAACTGGAGTTAGACAGTTGTTAGCTGCCATGTGGGTGCTGGGATTCAAACCTGGGTCTTCTGCAAGAACAACCAGTGTTCTTAACCGCATAAAAATCAAAGCATTTAAAAAAAATGAAATTAGTTCTATTTAATACTTTAGTCATTTTTCTTCATTTCAAATTTAGCTGAGTTACAGTATTTATTATTTTCTTGTTTAAAGGGTAAATATATTCTCTCAGCTTGGGACTTTGTTGCTGTTTAGTGTTTTGCATTATAATAACTTAAAAAACCTTTAGTTTGTAGATTATAATCATCTTATTTTTATGCAAAACTCTTTACTGCTTTACCAAATGTGATCAGGAAAAAAAACAATTTATGTGTTTATTTCTTACATATGTAGGTAGCATTAGAAAAAACATTTGGCAGATTGTAGCATTTAATAGTAAAATGAGGGGCCAGAGAGATGGGTCAGTGGTTAAGGGCATTTACTGCTCTTGAATGACCCTGGCTCATTCAGTTCCCAGCACTCAAATGGGGTGGCACACAACCACCTGTAACTGCATCCAGGGGATCTGATGCCTTCTGGCCTCTGAAGATACCAGGCACACATACATAAAGTTAAAATAAATCTTAAAGTAGAAAAATTAGCCAGGTGTGGTTGTGTACGCTTTTAATTCCAGCACTCAGGGAGGCTGAGGCAGGTAGATCTCTGAATTCAAGACCAGCCTGGTCTACATAGCAAGTTCCAGGCTAGCTGGAGCTACAGGGAGACCCTGTCTCAAAAAGACAAAAAAGACCAGAAAAAAAAAAAAGAAAAATGAGTGTATTGTCTCTTTAAAAGTGTTACCTTTTTCACAATGAATACTTTTGGGTTATCTGCATAGTCCTTGTTAAGTAATGGTAGTCAGTTGAATTATAACAATTAGAAAGTTGCTTTATTTTAGCATGTACTCTTCTGCCAGCATTTCTTTACAATTGTAAATTTAATAATCTAGATTATTTTTGTAGTATTGGTTAAAAAACATTTAATTGTACATTTAAAATACAATTATAAATCTAATTTGAAATTTATTGTATTATTTGTAAACAGATACATATCTACGTATATTAATGTGCAAGAGAGGGATCCTAAAGCTCATAGATTTTTGGGTCTTCTTTATGAAGTGGAAGAAAATACAGACAAAGCTGTCGAATGTTATAAGGTAATTACGGGATTAAAAATACAGCCTTTGCTTAGCCAAACACATGCTCACAATATGTAATGAATGGCACAGCATGGAACATATTTATAATTATTTGTGCCAAAGTATATAGTAATGGAACACACAAAATCTGAGTCCAGGCCAATGAAATGGCTCAGCAGGTGAAGGCATCTTTCACTAAGTATACCAATCTGAGTTTGATCTCTAAGACTCACATGATGGAAAGAGAGAACCAATTCCTGTAAGTTGTCCTCTGACATGAGCACAGCCTTACCCCCGAAACACAAAATTAAAAAAATAAATTTATTTATATATTTTTTTTATATAATTAAAAAATAAGGAGACTGGAGAGATGGCTGAGGAATTAAGGGCACTGGCTGGCTGCTCTTGCAGAGGAACTGGATTCAGTTCCCAGCACCCACATGGTAGCTAATAACTCCAGTTTCAGGGGATTGGACGCCCTCTTCTGGCCTCTGCATGCATTCCATGCACTGGTGTAGTTACATACATGCAGGCAAAACACTCATAACCTTAACCTTAAAAAAAAATAAGTCCAACATGGTTAGAGATGATGGTCTTGTGTATATATTTTTAAAATTTACCTAATTAAAACATAATTATATTTAGTTCTCCCAATTTTGGATGCTTTAACAACTTTTTAGCATCATCCATGAATAGAATTTTTAATGTGTACAATATTTTTTTTAGCCTGTATATCCTTAAAGCTATGTACAACTCAATGTTTCTGTTTTCTTGATAATTCTTTCTTGACATCAGCGTTCAGTGGAATTAAACCCAACACAAAAAGATCTTGTGTTGAAGATTGCGGAATTGCTTTGTAAAAATGATGTTACTGATGGAAGAGCAAAATACTGGGTTGAAAGAGCAGCTAAGCTTTTCCCAGGAAGTCCTGCAATTTATAAGCTAAAGGTAAAAATCCCAAACCAAACTATGTATGAAAAGAGAAAGCTAAGATATAATCATTTTTAATATTTTTAAGTTTAAATTACTTCTCAGTAGCAAACTTAACAGAGGAATGAATAAATATTTGTTTTCTCTAAAAATCTTTAGCCCCTTTAAAACATTTTTGAGTATCTACTGTGTTATGAGGCAGTGTTAATGTCATTTTGTTTGTTTGTTTGTTTTTTGATATTTTTGAGACAGGGTCTCCCTGTAGCACCAGCTGGCCTGGAACTCACTGTGTAGACCAGCTGGATCTCACAGAGAGATCTGCCTGCCTCAGCCTCTGCTGGGATTAAAGGCTTGTGCTACCATACCCTCCCTGCTTTTTTCTTTTTTAGATTTTATTTTCATGTGTATGAGTGTTTTGCCTGTGTGTATGTAAGTATACCACTTATATGCCTGGTGCCCATGGAGGCTAGAAGAGGATGTCAGAGCCTTTGGAACTGGTGTGTTAGGGACAGGTATTAGCCACATGTGGGTGCTGGGAACTGAACCTGTGTCCGCTGGGAGAGCAATAAGTGCTTTTAACCACTGAACCATCTCTCCAGCCTCCCCACTTGTTAACTTAGCTGAGTAAAATATAGTTTACTAAGTAACTCTTTTGGAGGAAGTATTTTCAAATGTGTATGATAAACATATTTTAGAAGTATGTTGTTAATACATTGTGAGTTATATATCTGTATATATAGATATATATGTATGTGTGTGTATACATTGTTAGGCATGAATAATATGAAATGAACTATAAATGTGTATTGTTTTTAGTTCTTTCTACTGCTCTTAAACATGTTTCTGATAGAAGCTTTTAAACTTTATTTTTATTTTGAAAAATACCATGCTGTTCTTTTATTTTTTAAAAACTTTTATAATCAAAGACCAGGGCTGCTTTTTTGCCGATAAAGAGAGACCAGGCATAAGGTTTTGGAACTGACTTGAGAAGAAAAAGAGAAAAGGAAGTAAAATACAGGTCACTGATGGGCTTTGTCTTTGTTAGGCAAAGGGAGCAGGGAGATGAGTACAAGTAGGTAAACTAAAATAGAATTTACATATAATGGCTTCAGTTTCCTCAGTGAAGGGTAGGTCAGAGTCATAGGTTGAAAGAGTTGTAGGAAAAAAAAAAGATGTAGGAAGATAAAATCCTTTTAGGGAGTAGAGAGTATGCATTTATTAGAAGTAAAATGGTTTTTTCATCTAGGTAGTACCAGTTTAAGGTATGAGATAATAAGTCACATCAGCCTGACTTGAAATTTCCCAATATACCCTATTCCCAGTTGCTCCACCGTTTGTGTGTAGGCACAGAGAAATGGTGTAGGCTGCTACTTATGAAAGGTAGAGGGAATTAGGTGAAGGGATATTAAAAACAAACTAACAGTATTAGGGTTATTGCATTTTATATTGATGGAGAAGAAAGGAAGTGCATGTATTATGGAGAATTAAAGTTTAGCAATGTAAGTGTGCTGAAGAAGCTTTTCACAGTGGAGCTATATATAGTGACAGTTAGGGTCCTTGGGCCTCCAGTGAAGTGGGAGAATAAGATTGTCAGAGTGATACGATTGTATAATAGATTTTGAAGGTCTGTGTAAATGACACATGGATGGCTTAGTGTATAATAAAGGATATTGTCACTGGATTTGAGGTGATTGAAGAATTGAGTAGCTAAGCTATTAGCTCTTTTGTGTTATCTTTCAGTGGCTAATACCAATGACAGTTGTTAGGAATGTAGACGTTACTCCCTCAGAATTTACAAAAAAGAATGAAAGGACATGATTTGGAGGTGACAATAGGGAGTGAGTGAAGAGGCAGTGAATGCCATCTATGTTTATAGGCTAGAGAAGAAGCTGTTACGACAGACCTGATGGGGGCTATTGTGACATGATATAGTGTTTAAGGTCAGGAGCAGTAAAGTGTTTTGAGAGGATGAGGTTAGCAGAATAGTGTGAGACATTTGGGCAAGGGATTGAGTCAGATTCTGTAAGATACAGAACACATTGAAGATGAGGATTCTGGTAAGGACTGATTGATTGGGTAGGCCTTGACTTTTAGTAGTGGCTGAAGTATGTAGGGATGTGAGGCAGTAATAGTCTTTATGGTCTCTGAGGTGAATATGGGCAACCACAAATATTGCAGTAACTGAATGCTACTCTGCACATGAAATTGTTGAGGTTTAATATCTGGAAATAATTCTGAATAGGTTAATAAGGTGTGTAGGATGATAACTTTGGTGGGCCTTTTCTAAAGCTAGTTACAATGAGATGTTGTACATGAACCAATGACTGTTTAAAGTTGTGCAAGTGTTACTCTAAATTATTGGCTTGTCTCCCAAATAGGAGCAACTTTTAGATTGTAAAGGTGAAGATGGATGGAATAAACTTTTTGACTTGATTCAGTCAGAACTTTATGCAAGACCTGATGATGTCCATGTGAATATCCGACTGGTAGAGCTTTATCGTTCAAATAAAAGATTAAAGGATGCTGTGGCCCACTGCCATGAGGCAGAGAGGAGCATAGCTTTACGTTCAAGTTTAGAATGGAATTCATGTGTTGTACAGACCCTTAAGGTAGGTGGAAAGGTGGAATCTGTTAGTTTTCTCTATGCTTCTTTATAGATAGTAGTCATACTTTTCTTTTTGTATTTATGCAGGTGCTCCAACACTTAAATTTCTTTCATTGATCAAGCAGAGCCATAAAATGAATTTTTTTTATATTATTTTTATTTTATGTGTATGAGTGTAATGCCTGCATGTGAGTGTGCCCCTGTCATGCAGTGCTCCGGAGGTCAGTAGATGGCTTCGGATTCCCCTGGAACTGGAGTTAAGGATGGCTTGTAGCTGCCATGTGGGTGCTGGGAATCGAACCCGGGTCCTCTGCAAGAGCAGTCAGTGCTTTTAACTGCTGAGCCATCTCTCCAGACCCGTAAAATGAAATTTTTAACCAAGATCATTTTAACTTAAATGGATAGAGAATGTGCCAGGTACTTTTATAGTGCGTGTGTGTGTGTGTGTGTGTGTGTGTGTGTGTGTGTGTGTGTGTGTGTGTGTATTTGGTATTTTTACTTATAAAGCTAATGAAAAAAATCAGCATTTTCATAGATGTGATGGAGAATGGGCTAAGAAATTTGTAAGTATAAAATAGTCTGTTTCTTAAAATCTGGTGAAGTTTTCTAACTTTTACTGTTTTTTGTTTTGTTTTGTTTTTTACAAAATAGGAATATCTGGAGTCTTTACAGTGCTTGGATTCTGATAAAAGTGACTGGAGAGCAACCAATAAAGACTTACTTCTAGCCTATGGTAACCTCATGCTGCTTACACTTTCCACCAGAGATGTACAGGAAAGTAGAGAACTCCTGGAAAGGTATGTATATGTTAATGTGGAGAGAGTACTTAGTGTAAGTTAGAGCCTTTCTTTTTTGTAGTTTAATTGGTCTAGGTTTCTCTACAGCATCATTATTTTTAAAATTTACTTAGTATAGTTAGTATAATAAAATACTTAAAGGATTTTATTTTTACCATTCTTGTAGGGATACTGTAATTGTGTACATGAGCTGGGCGTGGTGGCACACGCCTGTAGTCCCAGCACTTGGGAGGCTGAGGCAGGTAGATCTCTGTGAGTTCAAGGCCAGCCTGTTCTACATAGTGAGTTCCAGGACAGCTGGGGCTATAGGGAGACCCTGCTTCAAAAAGCCAAAAAAAAAAGAAATTATTTATTTTTATTTATGTATATGATTGTTATGCCTACATTTAGGTCAGTACACCCTTGTCATGCAGTACCAGTGGAGTACAGAAAAGCCTGTTGGATCCCCTGGAACTGGAGTTACGGATAGATGTTAGCTGCCATGTGGGTGCTGGGACTCGAACCTGGGTCTTCTGTAAGAACAGTCAGTGTTCATAACCGCTCAACCATTTCTCCAGCCCATGTACAATTTGTTTTAAAGAATTTTTTTTGTCTGTTTGAGACAGAGTCTCCCTGTAACTTGGAACTATGTAAATCAGGCTGGCCTCACTCTCACAGAGATCTGCCTGTGTTTGCTTTCTGAGTGCTGGGATTAAAGGCCTGTGTCACCATGCTGAGCTCATTTTTTTTGTAATATTAAATTTTCATTTATTTATGTGTATGTATGGGGAGGGGTTCACATGCCATGATTCACCTGTGGAGGTCAGAGGACAACTTGACAGGTTAGTTCTGCATCATGTGAAGTCCAGGGATTGAACCTGGCAGCAGGTGCCTTTACCCTCTGTGCCATTTTACTGGCCCTAGAGAATTCTTATAGTTCGGCCGTTATTTTTTAAAATATTTTATTTATTATTTTATGTGTATGAGTGTATTGCCTGAATGTAAGTAAGTGCACCTGTGTTGTGCAGTTCCAGCAGAGGACAGAAGAGGCCGTCGGATCCCCTGGAACTGGAGTTACAGTTATTAGCTGCCATGTGGATGCTGGGATTCAAACCCGGGTCTTCTGCAAGAACAACCAGTGTTCTTAACCGCTGAGCCATCTCTCCAGCCCCAGTTTGGTCGTTATTAAAATTAGCCTCATATGGGGGCTGGAGAGATGGCTCAGTGATTAAGAGTGCTTGCTGCTTTTACAGAGGATCTGGATTCATTTCCCAGCACCCACATGGTGGCTAACAGTTGTCCTTAATTCCAGTTCCAGGGTATCTGATGCCCTCTTCTGACCTCTGTGGGCATAGCATGACATGGGCGTACTTACATACATGTAAGCATTACACTCATACACATAAAAAATATTAATAAAATTAACCTCATAGCTAAATACTCATTTTAGCATGCTTAAAAAATATATACATATATGCACACATGCATACATATAAATATGTATGATGTATGTATTTTTTGTTGTTGAGACAGGGTCTCATTGTGTAGTTCTGGCTGTCCTGAAACTTGGTATGTAGACCAGGCTGACCTCTTAACTCATAGAAATATGTCTGCCTCTGCCTCTGCCTCGTGAGTGCTGGGATTAAAGGTGTATGTTATCATGCCCAGCTAAATGGAATAATTGTGAGTGAAAATCAAAGTCCTTCGTTGTATGGCTAGGTTCAGATTTGCTAATATAAGCACTTAGAATCACTGTTATTTCAGAAAACTTTATTTTGGCTTCAAAACAAAGTAACTCAAATATGTTATGACCCCTCCCCCCAAACTTTGCTTTGAGGACCCAGTGCCTCTAGTTTATGAAAATATATTTCATAGAACAAAAATACCACTTGGATTTGTTTAAGGGTTAGTGTGAGTTTGGAACAGGTTTATAGGCCAAATGGAGACCACTGCTTGATTTTGAAAATAAATGATTAATGCATCCTTTGAAGACTCCACAGAGCCTTGTGGATTATATTAATGAATTATATTAGAAATTAAAACTGAGGAATTGAAAAATAGTTAACTCATGAAAACATATAAGCTCATAACAATAATATTGTTAATGAAAAATAAGGGAGGGTTTTTAAAAAATTATTTTGTTTGTATATGTGTCTGCCTATATGTATGTATGTATATGTACCATGTGTGTGCCTGGTGCTCATGAAGGCCAGAAGAGGGTGTCAAATTCCCTAGACCTGGAGTTACAGGCAGTTAGTTGCCATGTGGGTTCTGGGAACTGAAGGAAGTTCCTCTGTAGGAACAGCAAGGGCCCTTAACCACTGAGCCATCTCTCCAACCCCAAGGAAGTTTCTGAAACAACACAGTAGTGAGAAAAGTGGCCTTGTTTTACATGTTGGAAATCTCTCTGATGTCTGGCTTATTGAGCACAACTGGTTTCTCACCTAAGTCATTCAGGATGTTATTTCATGTGTTGAAGCCTCTGGAAGTTTATGTATACATATGTGAGAAAAGGACTATAAAAGGCAACATGTTTCTTAGTATTAATACAAAAATGTTTAACCTTAAAAATCCTCTTTAAGAGGTGTGGTGGCACACACCTTTAATCCCAGCATCCAGGAGGCAGAGGCCACGAATCTCTGTTAGTTCAAGGCCATCCTGCTCCAAATAGTTTCAGGTCAGCTGGGGCTACAGGGAGACCCTTTCTCAAAAAGACCAAAAAAAAAAAAAAAAAAAAAACCCAAACCAACCCCCCCCCAAAAAAAACAAAAGCATCTTTAAGAATCCCCAGGAATCTTTAGACTTTTAGCCCTTAATTGCTAGAAAAGTCTCTGCTCTGATTTCTTTTTTTTTTTTTTAACTTTTTAAAAAAAAATTCTATTATTTTTATGTATACGCGTGTATTGCCTGCATGTAGGTAAGTGCACCTGTGTCGTACAGTACCCGTGGAGATCAGAAGAGGCTGTCGGATCCCTTGGGACTGGAGTTAACGGACAGTTGTTTAGCTGCCATGTGGGTGCTGGGATTCGAACCTGGGTCTTCTGTAAGAACAACCAGTGTTCTTAACCGCTGAGCCATCTCTCCAGCCCCTGATTTCTTTATTATAAAGATGTTTTGAAGTAATCCTTCATATTTATTTAAGTGTTCTTGTTTTGCTTACAGTGAGAAGGTTCTAAGGATCATCGTGGCTTAAAAACACTATCTAGAGAACAGATTACAAATAATAGTAAGGAATACATTTTAACTCCAAGAGCAGTTACATCATTGATAGACAAGAATCTGTCAGTTATTGTAATTTGGAAATGGCTTATTAGTGAGGTATTCCAACCTTGAATTAAATAATGAAACTATGGATCAAGAGGAAACTAAAACATAATTTCTGAATTGTGTCTTCATTGATTAAACTATTTGCCTTTTTTCTCCTTATACCAAGGATTGAACCTTGTGCATACTACATAAGCACCCTTATCACTGATCTATATCCTCAGCCTTAAATAGTTACCTCTTACCAGTAATCTTAAATAGATTTCTGTGTCAGGAGTGGTGGCACACGCCTTTAATTCCAGCTCTTAGGAGACAGACGCTGGCGGAAATCTGTGAGTTCAAGGCCAACCTAGTCCACATAGTGAGTTCTAGGCCAGCTGGGGCTACAGGGAGATCTTGACTCAAAAAAGACCAAAAAAATTTTTTTTTATTTCTGTGATTGAAGGGTAAGAAACACATATTTTGTAGAAGGATGTCATTGTGGAAGGTGGTTAAGCAGGATGAAAATCCCCAGTAGCTTAATCTGTGATGAACCTCTGTGGTTAATAGGAGTGTCACTTGAAGATGAAGTTTGAAATAAACCTTATTTGTTCTGAATTAATATGAAATTGATCAATTACAATCAGTGTCATAGGTGTGGAATACTTACTTGCTATTTCAATTTTACAGTTTTGATAGTGCTCTTCAGTCTGTGAAATCTTCTGTGGGTGGAAATGATGAATTGTCAACTACTTTCCTAGAAATGAAAGGACATTTCTACTTGCACGTTGGCTCTCTGCTTTTGAAGATGGGTCAGCATAGTGACATCCAGTGGCGAGCTCTCTCTGAGCTGGCTGCACTGTGCTATCTCATAGCATTTCAGGTAAGCATTTTCTAGTATTAGGTGTGCTTGGCATTTCAACAAGACATTGTGTTTCTCAGAGAGTTCTGTTGTAGTGTGCAATAAAAATAAATAAAAACAGGGAATTAAAGTTAGGATCAAAATCAGTTTGATGGGTTAAATATAACAAGGTGTACGTATGCTGGTTAGTCTGGTGAAACAGCTGTGTGATATTGTTGACAGTCTATATTGGACTTGTTTTATTTAGAGTCCAGTTTGAAGAATTTGGTCTTTTAACTTTGCCATATCTGGGAACATAATATTAAATACCTAATTTTAAATATGGGTAACACTTGATTAAAAAATATGGGTAGAGCTTGATTCAAAAGTTATCTGTGATCCAGACATAGTAGTTTATGTCTGTAATCCTAGCCTGGAGAAGCTGAGGCAAGGAGAATCAGAAGTTTGAAGCCAGCTGTGTAATGAGATTCTTTCTCAGAAAAATAGATTGATGTGATGAACAAATTTAGGAGCATGATTAAAATATGCTAGAAGAATATGATTACATCACGTTTCAATTACATTTAGCATGTTAATTGAAAAAAACATAGCATATTATCTGTCTTATATATGACACATAATACATCTCTGTTCATCTCTGAAAGCATAAAACTATTAGAGGATACAAGAGGGAAATAAAACCACGTATTAGCCATTGTGTTTAGTTTTGGGATATTTGCCAATATACCTTTTCTGATACCTTTTCTAGAGTTTTAGTTTGCTTATTTGCTTAGTTTCATTTCATTTCAGATTTATTTTACGTTTAATTAAGTCTGTGTGTGGGTGTGTTGCAGGAGAGTGTAGATACATGTGGAGGCCAGTGGTGTCAGATCCCTTGGAGCTGGAGTTACAGACTTTTGTTTGCTGCCATATGGGTGCTAGGAACCAAGTGTAGGTCCTTTGCAAGAACAGTCTGTTTTTAACCACTGAGCCAGGTTTTTAGTCCCTTGTTTGTTTTGAGACAGGGTCTCCCTGTAGCCTCAGCTGGCCTGAAACTCACTGTGTAGACCAGGCTGGAGTCTTAACTCATAGAGATCCGCCTGCCTCTACTTCTGAGTACCGGAAATAAAAGTGTTTGCCCAGCCATTTTTCTAGTTTTAATGTTTTAAAAATCTATACTACTTCTGAAATGAAGAGAAATAAGCATTAAATCATAAAAAGGATTCCTAGCTTTAGAGAATGATGGAGGAACGGGCTTGGGGAGATAAAAAGGATTCATTAATTTATAAAGACTCATCTTTTCTAGGTTGTATTGTATAATTTTTTTTTTTTGTGCTTTTTGATACAGGGTCTCCTTGTAGCCCCAGGTGGCCTGGAACTCACTATGTAGACCAGGCTGACTTTGAACCCACAGAGATCTGCCTGCCTCTGCCTTTTTAAGTGCTGCAACTAAAGATGTGTGCCACCACACCTGGCCTAGTTTTTTTTTTTTTGAGACAGGATCTTACTATGTATCCCTGGATGACCTGGAACTCTCTGTATAGACCAGGCTGGCCTTTAGAAATCTACCTACCTCTGCTTCCTCCCGTGTGCTCAGATTAAGGGGGGGGACATCACCATGCCCAGCCTTACATTGGTCTTTTATAAAATTGTTGATACTATGCCCACAATGTTAAATTCTACTATTTGTTCAGTAGACATGTTTAAGTTCTTAAGGAATGTATTTATTAGTGAAAATTAGTGATGTCATTTAGGCTTAATTTATGTGAACATTAAATGGTTCTTGTTTTTTATTGAGATGCTCAGTTAGCTAGAAGTTTTTAGTAGAAATTTGAAATTTTATTAAAACTTTAAAATAAAGTTTTAAAAAATTAACATTGTCAGTTATTTTAAATCATTACCTTTATGTATTTTTATGTACATATATGAGTGTGGGTCTGTGAGTAAAGCCACTCCACCATGTGGGTGCCAGGAACTGAGCTGGAGGCCTATGGTAGAACAGCGAGTGCTCTTAACCCCTGAGTCATCCCTCCATCCTCATCACCTTTTTTAATGATGAAAAATTAATCTCTTAGCCCTGTTCATTCCATCAGTTCTCTAATCCTAGAAGTTAGTAGTTTTTTTGGTATTTAGAAGTGTTTTTTTTCATTCCTTCTTTTACTTGAAGAAAGGTGTTTGGCTTCAATGTGGATGTGTCTTATCCACTACAGAATAATTTTGCTTTTGGTGTATTTTTATTATATTTCTTTATGAGAAAAATACATTGAAAGCATCTCTCATGATAGAGTTTTCAGACTCTTTGCTAAAATTTTTTTTAATATGTTTGAGTGTTTTGCCTACATGTGTGTAAGTGTATCATGTGTTTGCGTGTGCTTAGGGAGGCCAGAAGAGGGCAGAGTATCCTCTGGAACTGGGGTTCCAGACAGATTTGAGTGGGTTCTGGGAACCAAACCCAGTTCTTCTGCAAAGAAGTAAGTGCTATTAGCTGCTGAGCCCGTTCTACAGCCTGGTTCTAGTCTTTGGAACCTTAGTTTTAGTTAACATAAAAAGTGAGGACTTGGGCTGGCAAGATTGTTCAGCAGTGGCTCAGTGATAAAGTGCTTGCAGTGTAAAGCTGACAACCCAAGTTTGATCAACCCACACAAAGGTGGGAGAGAACAAACTTCATAAAGTTGTCCTCTGATCAAAAAAAAAAAAAAATGTTGAAATGCCTTAACTGAGTGAATTAGCTGTTAAGTAGATTTTTTTAAAAGACGCCAGGTTTATGATCTGGAGTAAATTTGAAAACAAGAATTATTTTGTGTTCATTTTCTTATCTTGTTGTTTTGAACATATATATGACACATTTTGCCATTTTTGTTTTTGAGACAGCATCTTACTTTATATCCCTAGTTAGCCTGGAAATTGTTATGTAGACCAGGCTGGCTTCGAACTTAAATGAGACTCCCCTACCTCTTACTTCAGAATGTGGGATTAAAGGCGTATGCCACAATGCCCAGCTTTATTTTCTTCTTCCTTTAAAAAAATTATTTAGTGTGTATGTGTATGATGTGCATGTACCATGGCACGTGAGTGGAGACCAGGGAACAACATGGCAGGAATTGTCTCTCCTTCTACCATGTGGGCCCCAGGTATCAAACTCTGTTAGGCTTGGTGGCAAGGGTTTTTACGTGTCCAGCAATCTTGCTGGCCCTAATCATATGTTTATAAAATTTAAAATCAAAGTTTAGTTTTATAAGGAATCAATTTTGAAAAGTTAGTACTTTTGGAAAGGTAATTATCCATATGGTTTAAAATTCTCGTGCCACATAAGATCTTTGAGCATTTTTGTACCTCTGTTCTACAATCTGTACTTGTCAACTCTGGGGAAACTGTTGTTTTATTGTGAGTTCTTTGAGTTTTTTTCCTTTGTTTGGTGGTGAAACCTAAGTATTCATCCCTTTTAGACATGAGCTGTACCCCCTGACTACACTCTAGCCCAAGAAATGTTTTGTTGTGTATCTAAGTAGAATATGTGCTTTTTTTTTTTGAGACAGGATCTCCCTGTAATCCCAGCAGACCTGGAACTCGCTTATAGACCAAGCTGCCCCTGCCTCCTGAATGCTGGGATTACAGGCGTGCACCACTATACTTGGCTAGCATGTGCATATTTTGTTCTCCACTAAAAACTTAGAAAACATGGGGCTGGAATGATGGCTCAGTGGTTAAGAGCATTGGCTGCTCTTGCAGAGGACCCAGGTTCGGTTTCAAGTACCCACATGATGGCTAACTGTCTGTAACTCCAGTTCCAAGGGATCTGATACCCTCTTCTGACCTCCATGGGCATTGTATGACACTGGTGCATTTATATTGATTCAGGCAATTCATCTGTGCAATAACATCCAACAGAAATTGACTAGGGAAATTGAGGCAGTTTTCTTCATGGATGAGCTTCCAGCTTCCCTTTCTTGCTGAAGGTATCTTTATATCTTGGAATAAACAATAGTGACACTGTTGAAAATAGTTTATATTCTAGCAGTTCTCAAGAACACAATATTAGTAGTTTTTATTTTATTTTGTTTTAAAGACAGGGACTCACTATGTAGCCTTGGCTGGCCTGGAATTCACTATGTAGACCAAGTTGGCCCTAAACTCACTGAACTCTGCCTGCCTCTACCCCCTGAGTGCTGAGAAACACAATGTGACACATTGTTTTTAATACCCTTAGTTTCTTGCTGTTTTCCCTTAACTTTTTACAGAGCCAGGGGACCAGCCTGATCCAGGACAGGGGTTTGGAAGGAGACAGTGGAGTGCCTCCTCACTCTCACAACAAGTTTAAACTTTCAACAAGTTTAAAGAGCACACAACAGTTTACCAATATAATGTACATTACAGTGTCATTGCCTAGGACTGAGCATTTTCCCTACTTCCAGGGGAGTCTGATGTAACTTTGGATATTTGGAGTTTTGTGCTTCCTTATATGGAATAGGAATATTCTCTTTTATTATTACATTTATTTGTGTGTACATGTGTGGGCACACTATGCTATGGCCTGTGTATGGACAGAGACGACTTGTGGGAATTGGTTCTCTCCTTCCACAATGTGAGTCCCAGCGATCAGGTCATCAGTCTTGGTGGCAAGTGCCTCCTGAGCCTTCTCAACCAGTGTGGCATAAAAATATTCCTGAAGCTGCCACTTAGAAGGTAATTTCCTTGGTATCCGACTATCTTCCATATCTTAACCATTCTAATCATTCTTGCAGGGTTTTTTTTTTGGTCTTTTTGAGACAGGATCTCCCAATTGGCCTGGAACTCACTATGTAGATCAGGCTGACCTTGAACTCAGAGATTTGCCTGCCTCTGCCTCTGCCTCCCGAATGTTGGGATTAAAAGCATATGCTACCACACTTGGCTCTTTCAACCTTTTTTTTTTTTTTTTTTTTTTTTTTTAAATAGGATGTGACCTAGAGTCCATTATTTGCTCTCTTGGTTTTGCCACTTTAGTCCATTAATATCTTGATCATTCATATACTTTGAAACTCTGCTCTCTACATTGACATTTCCAAGAATTGTTTCACCAACACTACTTACTAGTGGTATTGCCATCTCTTTTACTGCTGCAGTTTATGCAGTGTAGAAAATATAATTGAATTCTCTCGGCTCCCTGAATGTAACTTGAATGAGCTTTTCTTTATATTCTCTGTCTTTCTCCTAACACCCCCCCTTGTCTCTCTGTCTCTCTGAGACAGGGTGTTGCTTTACCCTGGCCTGCTGGAAACTCATTGTATAGCCCAGTATAGCCCAGGCTTGCCTCAGACTTGCAGTGGTCCTCCTGCTTCATCATCTTGAATGCTGGGGTAACAGGTACGAGTTCCTACACTCTGCTTTAAAAGTATTTTTTGTACTGTATCTTTTTTATTTTTTATATAAATTCCTTGGTTGTCAGTTTTCCAATTAAGTATAATCATTGCTTAATTGTAATGGAAAGGGGAAATATGGATACCACTGAATTAGATTTTTCAAATTCTAAAATTGTCAGGTTCCAAGACCAAAGGTTAAATTAATAAAAGGAGAAGCTGGACAAAATCTGCTGGAAATGATGGCCCATGACCGTCTCAGCCAATCAGGTAAGAGTATTATTTAGTAATGTTTTAGCTGATTGAATCCTAAAAAAATAAAAACTTGAAAAAATTTTGTTTCCCCCCCTTCTTTTCCCTCTCTCTCTCTCTCTCTCTCTCTCTCTCTCTCTCTCTCTCTGTGTGTGTGTGTGTGTGTGTGTGTGTGTATGTGTATGTGTGTGCCATGGCACGCACATGGAGGTCAGTGGGCAGCCTGCAGGAGTCAGTTCTTTCCTTCCTCTATGTGGGCCCATGGATTGAATTTAGGTAAGGCTTGGAGGCAAGCACCCTTACCTGTTGAGTCATCTTGTCATCCTAAGATAAAAACTTCTCTGAGGTTAAAATCTTAGTGTCTAGGGGCTGGAGAGGTGGCTCAGAGGTTAAGAGCTAGAGGACCTAGGTTCGATTCCCAGCACCCACATGGTGGAAAACAACTGTAACTCCAGTTTCAGGGAATACAAAGCCCTCTTCTGACTTCTGGGAGTATTGCACGACACGGTGCACTTACATACATGTAAGCAATACACTCATACACATAAAATAAAAATAATGAAATATTAAAAAAAAAATCTTGTCTATCTAATCTTCCATACTTGTTCTTTTTGCCATACTAAATAAAGGTGGTGGATATGGAAGGTATTAGAAGAAATACTGTGTTTAAAAGAACATACTTAACATTGTTTGCTCCCAAATGCAGAAAACTCCTTTATCTAGCTCCATTTTGAGTGAATCAAAACACTTCTTGAGCCACATCTCATTTACCAACCATTTAACACCGTGGTGTGCTTGTAAAACATTCTTTTTCTTCATCTTTATATCACTATACTATAAAAGACAAATACAATTTTTTTTCTTATGTAGCAACTGTATGTATTGATATGTAATGTATATATTTTGTGCATGTGCATGACATGAAAGTGGTTACTATTTGGGGAGAGAAAAGGGACTAGGGAAAATAGGAGGACAAGGAAGATGTTCTAGTTTTTCCGTTGCTATGATAAAACACAGGTCGAAAGCAACTTGGAGGAGGAAAGGGTTTATTTTGGCTTACAGATTTTAGTCCATCATTGAGGGATGCCAAGGCAGGAACTGAAGCAGAAACCATGGGAGAACCCTGCCTTGCTCAGCTGCCTTTTCTGTATAGCCTTGTTCTGCCTGCTCAGAGATGGCATTACCCACTGTGGGATGAGCCCATCCACATCAATGAGCAATCAAGAAAATGCCCTGCAGACATCCCTACAGGTTAGGGATGGAGGTAGTTCCTCAGTTGAAGTTCTTCATTCCCAGGTGACTCTAGTTTGTATTGAGATGACAAAAACTAACCAGCACAAAAGTATAATAGAAAAAAAAAGCCAGGAAAAAAAATATAGGTGAAGATATGAATCTTCCTGTCTCTCAAAAAACTGAGAACATAGTAAGCTAGAAGATGTATACTCACAGGTTCTGGAAATCTGTAGATTTATTCCCAGTTTGGACTGTTGAGAATGGATCCTAAAAGCTTGTATGTACTACTTGGGATTTTGCTATGGTTCAAACTTCAAAGTAGGTCAGGTAGCCAGTCAATCAAGTAGAGAATTAAAGAACATAATTCTCTCTATAGAGAGCAGTTTGCATATAAAAGTTGGTGAACTTTGTAAAGACTAAAGAGAAGTATAAGGTTAGCTATGAGTTTGGTTCATAATTAACTGAGTCAAAACTCATGTTGCTCCTCTGTCTCCTAGTCTACTTTTGTTTTTCTTTTTAGATTCTCTCTCTCTCTCTCTCTCTCTCTCTCTCTCGCTCGCTCACTCGCTCGCTCCCTGGACATGTGTCCCCACAGAAGCCAGAAGAGGGTGTCTGATTCCCTCAAACTAGAGTTGTGAGCAGTTAGGAGCTGTCCAGTGTGGGTGCTGTCAACTGAGCTCTGATTTTCTGCAGAAGTAGCCAGCATACTTAACCACTGAACCATCTCTCTAGCCCCTGCTTTATTTATTGATTTATTTTTGTGGGAGTTAAGACTTTCAGTCCTTCTGGTAACTTCATATTTTCTTCGCATGTGTCTTCTACCTTTGCAGGGTCATTAAAGGTGCCTTTGCAGGGTTATCACTCACTGCAAAATCAACTTTTGATCTTCACATTCCAAATTTAGAGACAGTAGTCCAGTAGTAATCAGACCTATCTGGATCCACTGAACTAACCTCAAGGAGACGGTGTGTGTTGACAGCTTAATTGAAATTGAATTTTAGAATATAATTTATCCCTTTACAAGCATAAACTCAGTGGCTTTTTCTTTTTTTTCTTTTTTTGAGACACATCTCCTGGTAGCCCCAGATGGCTAGAAACTCACTAGCTAGACCAGACTGTCCTCAGTCTTAACAGATCTGCCTGCCTCTGCCTGAGTGCTGAGATTTAAGAAGTGGTCCACCATGCCCGATAATTCAAAAAAGTGGCTTTTGTTTTAATATTCTTATAGAGTTGTATAAGTTAATACTACTTTAGAGCCATTTTCTTTTTTTAAAAGTTTTTATTATTTTTATGTGTATGAGTATATTACGTGCATGTATGTAAGTGCACCATGTCTTGTAATTCCCTTGGAGGTCAGAAGAGGTGTTGGATCCCCTGGAACTGGAGTTACAGACAGTTGTTAGCCACCATGTGGGTGCTGGGAACCAAACCCAGATACTCTGCAAGAGCAGCTGATGCTCTTAAACCGCTGAGCCATCTCTCCAGCCCCTAGAGCCTTTTCAGCACCCCATAAACTTCAGCCTATTAGCAGTCTCTATAATTTCTCAACCTCTTGAGCCTTAGACAATCAGTAGTCTACTTTTTTCTCTTTTTAGTAGCCTATTTTGGATATTTCCTATAAATGGAATCATAAAATATGGATGGAGGGTTTTTTGATTTGCTTCCCTTACTGTGTTTTTCAGGGTCCACCCATGGTGTAGCATGTAATAGTACTTCATCCAAGTGTTGGCTTTGAAATAGATCCTTACTCCAAACATGTGGAATTAAAAAAAAAAAAAAAACTCTACCAGTAGAGCTTGGAAGAAGGTACTTCTTAAAAGCTGCTTAAAAACAGCAAGACCCTGATAAGATAGATTTAGAAATCAGTGTATCAGAAAATTAGGGCTTGGCCCTGCTGTTGTCTGAAGGCCACTGAAACCCTGTACTTTTCCATCTAAAATGCTGATTCTTGGACATTTTCTTTACATTTTATCTTTTTTCTTTGTTATATAGACAACAGTTACTATAAAACCTTCATTCTTTTTGTTTTCTATATAAGTACTATTTTTGCTGACTAGCTATGATTTTGGGGTTGGAGGATAAGCTCTGAGTAATCATATTATTTCCTTCTTGAGTGTCTTAATTAAATGATTAAGAGACATGAGTCAATAAAATTGGTGTTTCATCATGAAATCATTGAAATATGTTTTTCAGGGCATATGTTGTTAAATTTGAGTCGAGGCAAGCAAGACTTCTTGAAGGAGGTGGTGGAGTCTTTTGCCAATAAGAGTGGCCAATCTGCTCTCTATGATGCTCTGTTTCCTAGTCAGTCATCTAAGGATGGATCTTTCCTTGGTAATGATGATATTGGAAACATTAATGTACAAGTACCAGAGCCCAATGACTTGGCTAGATATGATATTGGTAAGTTGTATCTTTCAAAGGAAATATTCTTAAGTTTAATCCATTTATATCAAGAAGGCCCATAGAATGATTACCTGGAAATAATGACTTATTTGTGTGTGTGTGTATTCCGTTTAGCCTTATTTTGGAAGAGGATAAGAGTTTAGAATGTAAGTGTAGATAGCATTTATTTTCCTTTGAAATAGTTGTTAATATTGTATATTCTATTTGTCTTGCTTCATTTATAAATTTTCTAGCTCATGGTATCTATATATACTATATATTACATACTGTAAATGCAGTTTTTAGTGCAATTTAATCTTTTTATTGAATCAGACATAATTTGCTTCTTCATCCAGTTTTCTCTTATTTTTCAGTACTAAGACTGTGATGGAACTTTCAATAAAAAGTCTCTGCTTTTTAATTTAATTTCATAGAGATTCCTAAAAATGAATTATTGAAACAAAGGAAATACCACTTTTGTCTCTTGAAAATTGCCAAAATATTAGAAAGGTTGGAATCTCTTCATACTTCTAGAAGCCCACTTGCTTTTCAGTACTGAATTTCTTATAGAAAATACCCTTAATTTTACTCATAAATTAATATAATGGTATTTCATTATTGTTATTTAATGACTCATTGAAAGGAAAGGCTATTGTGGGTTTTTTTGTTTGTTTGGGTTTTTTTTTGAGACAGGGTCTCCCTGTAGTCCCAGCTGGCCTGGAACTCACTGTGTAGCCCAGGCTGGCCTTGAACTCACAGAGATCCACTTGCCTTTGCCTCCCAAGTGCTGGAATTAAAGGAGTGTGCCACCACTTCCAGAAAAAAGTTATTGCTTTAAAAATAGGCATCCTTTACGTGGTTTCTGTAAGATAGGTTTCTATTATTTTAAATTTAATTTTATTTTGATGAGTCTTATTTTCTTAGAAGGTTTGCAAAATCTTTCCATTCACACCTGTTTTGGTTAAAATTTATAAAGTGTGAATGCATTTAAAACAAGATTTTTGCTTACTATATTTCTTAGCTCTGATACAGAAAAGCAATTTATAGTTAAGATATATTTAATGTCACTTGTTTGTTTTGACAAACTGAAGGTGCAAAGAAAACATACCATCTATCATCAGTTACTTTCTCTTTCTATTTTAGGTGCTGTTCGAGCACATAATGGTAGTCTTCAGCACCTCACCTGGCTTGGCCTCCAATGGAATTCACTGCCTACCTTACCGGCACTTCGAAAATGGCTGAAACAACTCTTTCATCATTTGCCTCAGGAAACCTCAAGGCTTGAAACAAATGCACCTGAATCACTATGTATTTTAGATCTTGAAGTAAGTAAAGATGATAACAAATTAAATATGTTGAGCTTTGTTAATTTTTTAAAATTTAAATTATTTTTTTCTTCACATAAAATAGGTATTTTTACTTGGAGTAATATATACCAGCCACTTACAATTAAAGGAGAAGTGTAATTCTTACCACATTTCCTATCAACCACTGTGTTTGCCACTTCCTGTATGTAGGCAACTTTGTACAGACAGACAGAAAGCCTGGTGGGATGCAGTTTGTACTCTAATTCACAGAAAGGCAGTGTAAGTAATAAAACAATAATCCTCTAATTCTCATGTGAAGATTTGATTTATCGTGTCATAGCATACGTGTAAATGTTGAATTGTGTTTATTTAAAGCATTTTTATTTAATAAAACTTTTTTAGGCCTGGAAACTCAGCAAAACTGCGACTTCTAGTTCAGCGTGAAATAAATACTCTGAGGGCCCAGGAAAAACATGGCCTTCAACCTGCTCTGCTTGTGCATTGGGCAAAATACCTTCAGAAAACGGTGAGTTCATTGAAGTGTGAATTGTTTCTTTAAGGAATATTGCCTTAAACACTTTTTTTTTTCCATAATAGAGTTAATGCACTTAAATACAAGCAGCTAAAAAAGTATTACCTTGTACTTAATACATGTTCTTTATCAGGATTAGATGTAGTTGTTTAGCCTTTTGATCAAAATGATATTTTCAGGGACATATTTTAGCTATCAAAACTGACAGCTTTTTTGAGGGGTAGGGGAAGTATACGAGGAGTGTGAAACAGGGCCTCACAGAGCCTAGGCTGGCCTTGAACTTGATATGTAGTCAAGGATAACCTTGAATTACTAATCCTCTTGTCTCTATCTCCTAAGTACTGAGATTACAGTTGTGTGTCACCATGCCTAGCTTATTAAAAATGGCATCTCTTAAAAAGTAGATTGGGCTGGGTTAGGTGGCACATGCCTTCAATTCCAGCACTTGGGAAGTAGAAGCAGGTGGATCTCTGAGTGAGGCCAGTGTTGTGTACATAGTGAGTTCCAGGCCAGGTGGAGCTACAGGGAGACCCTGTCTCAAAAAAAAACCAAACGAAACAAAACAGTACATTGGGTTGTCTCATTAAAAGTGTTTAAAAGGTTTTTTAAGCCAGGCGTGGTGGTGCATGCCTTTAATCCCAGCACTTGGGAGGCAGAGGCAGGCAGATCTCTGTGAGTTCAAGAGGCAGAGGCAGGAAGATCTTTGTGAGTTCAAGGCCAGCCTGGTCTACATAGTTCCAGGATAGCTGGGCTACAGGGAGACCCTGTCTCAAAAAGACCAAAAAAAAAAAAGGTTTTTTTAAAAAAAATTTATGAGTATGTATGTGTGCCTTAGTGTATGTTGGTGTGCCACATGTATGCAGGTGTCCATGGAGGTCAGAAGAGGGCATTGGGTGCCTGGAACTGGAGTTATAGGCGATTGTGAACTGCCATGTGGATGTTGGGAACCAAACCCCCAGCTCTTTTTTTTTTTTTTTGCAAGAGCAGTAAACACTCTAAACCTTGGAGCCATTTCTGTATCCACAAAAGCTTAGGTTTTCCTTTTCTTTTTCCTTTTTTGGTCTTTTTGAAACAGAATCTTTCTATAGTGCCAACTGACCTGGAACTCCATATGTTTACCAGGCTGGCCTTATCTCACAGAGAAATGTCTGTCTCCTGAGTGCTGGAATTAAAGACATGTGCCACCATGCCCAGCTAAAAGCTGAGTTGCTTTTTTTTTTTTTCTTTTTGTGATAAGCTCTCTCTGTAGCCCCAGCGGTCCTGGAACTCTGTAGACCAGCCAGGCTTCAACCTCACATCTGCCTGCCTCTGCCTCCCAAGTGCTAGAATTAAAGGTGTGTGCCACCTGGCCTGAGTAAAAGCTGAGTTTTAATACCAGAGTAATTTCTGAGGTTAAAGTAATTAGTTATTCTATATTTGTGAAGTCAGATTTCCTCTCCTTTTTTTTGAGATTCCTTGTGGTTTTGACTTCTTAACCATTTGTAAGGTTGTGGGTTCTGACTTCTGTTTCAGGGCAGCAGTCTTAATTCTTTCTATGATCAACGGGAATACATAGGCAGAAGTGTTCATTATTGGAAGAAAATTTTACCATTGATGAAGATGATCAGAAAGAAGAACAGTATTCCTGAACCTATTGATCCTCTGTTTAAACATTTTCATAGTGTGGATATACAGGTAAAAGAACTAGGAATAAGTTAATTGCATATCTAATTTATATACAAAAATTAGAGCTATTAACGATTTAAGTATATTGTTTTACTTTTTAATGATAGTGTTGCTTACTAAATCAATTAGCTGACAAAAATACGACTATGATGAGATGTTAGTCTTGTTTAGATAATATATAATCTTTGGAAAATCATTTGGATTTGAAGCAGTTTCACTAATTACTAAATTTATTTAGGCTTCTGAAGTTGGTGAATATGAAGACGATGCACACATAACTTTTGCTATATTGGATGTGGTTAATGGAAATGTAGAAGATGCCATGACTGCCTTTGAATCTATTAAAAATGTAGTTTCTTATTGGAATCTTGCACTGGTAAGTAGATGTGGTAATTAAGAGTTTTTTTGTTTGGAAAACAATTGTTTCATAAAAGTACTTTGTATAGATTTTTCACAGGAAAGCAGAAGACATTGAAAATGATGCCCTTTCGCCGGAAGAACAAGAAGAATGCAAAAATTATCTGAGAAAGACCCGGGACTACCTAATAAAGATTTTAGATGATAGTGATTCAAATCTTTCTGTGGTCCAGAAAGTAAGTTGAAGGTTTTTCTCTGTAGTTTATTATTATTGATAGCTGTTTTATATTTTGATAATTCCTTAATCACTCAGCTTGGAAATAGCAGGGTCAGTGTGTGCATATCAATGCTTTAGTTTACTTTCCTTGTCTTACACTTGGTGTAAGAAAAAACTTGGTAGTTGGGGAGATAACTCAGTGGATAAATGAGGGCCCTAGTTCAGGGCCCTAGTTCAGATCCACAGCATTCAAGTAGTAGTGGTCCATCTGTAATCCCAGCACTTAGAAAGTGATGACAAGAGGTTCCTGGAGCAAATTGGCTAGGTAGAATAATTGAATTGGCAAGCTCCAGGTTCAGCAGGAGACCCTGTCTCTCTATAGAGGTGGAGAACAATTGAGGAAGATACCTAATGTCAACCTCTGGCTTCCACATGCATACATGTGCACACATGCGCACACATGCCCTCACATGTATGCACATGTGAATATACACACCACATACCCAAACGCACAACTTGGTATCTAGGTATACTTGGTATCTAGGTATATAGTCTTACAAAAATACTTGAGGTTTCTTGAGCCTGGTCTGCGTAGTGAGTTCTAGGCCAGCTGGGGCTGCAGGAAGACCCTTCTCAAAAAGACCAATTAATAAATAAAAAATAAATAATAAAGTAAATATTGTAGTTAGAGGACTAGTTCTTAATGAAGCTTGGTGAAGGGAAATATTACATTTTCTCTCATGCTTGTCATTTGCTATGGAGTAGCTGTTATCAGCAGTTTGAGACTCATACTGGTGTTAATTATGTTTAGCCCTCCTGAGTATTCTGAGTATTTTGTTTATTAATTTGTATTCTTTTTTTTCTTTTTTATTCTGGTTCTCACTGTGTAGCCCTGACTGGTGTGGAAGTTGCTATGTAGACCAGTCTGTCCTGGAACTCACAGAGGTCCGCCTACCTCTACCTCCTGAGGACTGGGATTATAGGGTGGGCCACCATGCCCAACCTATATAGCTGCTCTTAGATTAGGATTTATATTGTCTGATGCATTCCAACATCTATATTTCACTATTCAAAATCTCTTAGAAGAATCAATAACTTTGTTCATCAGGACAAGCTTCCCAAGTTCACTTTCCTCTGCTATTACTATGGGCTTACTTTCAGAGTCAGAAGACTTTAGAGTGTACAACACTTTCACATATATTAATAAAGTACAGTAAAATACTTGTTAAAATGTGCTGTGGTGTACCTAATCTTAACACTTGGGAGACTGAGGCAGGAGGGTTGAGAATTTAAGGGTACCTTAAGCTACAAAAAGAGACCAAAGTTCCTAAATAAGTAAACAAATTACTAAAATAGCCCTGTGTGGTAGTGCATGCCTTTAATTCCAGCCATAGGGAGGCAGAGGCAGGCAGATCTCTTGAGTTTCAGGCCAGCCTGGTCTATGATATGAGTTTCAAGCTAGCAAGTGCTACATAGTCCCTGGTTCAAAAAACAAAAAATTAAAAATTAAAAAAAAATCCTTTATTTATTTTTAAGTTCTTATTTTGACATTTTTCCCCCAAACTAAAGCCCTTTCTTTACCTTTTCTTTTTAGTTGCCTGTTCCTCTTGAGTCTGTAAAAGAGATGCTGAACTCAGTTATGCAGGAACTTGAAGATCACAGTGAAGGAGGTACTCTCTATAAAAATGGCTGTTTGCGAAATGCAGATTCAGAAATTAAACATTCTACACCTTCTCCTACGAAATATTCTCTATCACCAAGTAAAAGTTACAAGGCACGTATGAAAGAAATAAATAATTCCATTATGAGTTTTTCTAAATGTTTTAAATACTGTTAACATTATTTGTGTTTGTGTGTTTAGTATTCTCCCAGAACACCACCTCGATGGGCAGAAGATCAAAATTCTTTACTGAAAATGATCTGCCAGCAAGTAGAGGCAATCAAGGTGACTACCTAATTTGTCTACTTGTGCCTCTTATTATGGGACCTTTTCTCTCATTATTTCCTAACTTAAAAGATGATCAAAATGTCCCCTTGCTATACTACTGCATAGCTGCATTCCTCCCTCTTGTTTCCTAACCATATATTCTAAATTACTTAGGTACCTATGTCTTCCATAAAATGTATTTTTTAAAATTAAACCCTAAACATACATAATTCCTGGCATGGGTGTTTCTCAGGTGATTGAAATGAGCTGTTTAAATACACTGTCATACCTTTTTCTGTCAGTTCATTTCTCAACTTGGCTGTTGTTAAGGTGTGTGTTAAGTATATCACTAGGATTTGAGAAGTGTCCTAAGTGTATTTTTCTGTTTAAATGCTTTCCTATGAATGATTTAATTATGTATAGAAATAGTTATGCTTACATAACTATTTTATTTATATATATTTTTTTAAAACTTTTTTTGTTTATTTTTATTTTATGTGTATGAGTGTGTTGCCTGCACGTATGTGAGTGCACCCATGTCGTGCATTGCTGAGGAAGTCAGAAGAGGGCTTCGGATTCCCCTGGAACTGGAGTTAAGGATGGTTTGTAGCCGCCATGTGGGTGCTGGGAATTGAACCCGGGTCCTCTGTAAGAGCAGTCAGTGCTCTTAACCACTGAGCCGTCTCTCCAGCCCCAATATATATATAGTTTTTGAGATGAGATCTCCCTATAGCCCCAGCTGGCCTGGAATTCCCTATAGAGACCAGGCTGGTCTCTATCTCACATTTTATGATGTGTAGCACTCAAGGGGGCTTTACTTCACAATTGGAAATAAGTTTTTTTTAAAAAAATGCTTATTGGGTAAGAACTAAATTGATCATACATCTAATGTTATACCAAGGAAATTTTGCTATGTGTTGATTATTGTATGTATAATCAGCAGTGTTTGGCTTTGAAAACTGAATTAGCAGCCGGATGTCGTGGCACCTGCCTTTAATCTGAATGTCTTTAATCCCAGCATTCGAGAGGCAGAGGCAGGTGGATCTCTGAGTTCAAGGCCAGCCTGGTCTAGATAGCGAGCTCCAGGCCAGCTGAGGCTACAGGGAGACCTTGTCTCAGAAAGACCAAAAAACAAAACAAACAAACAAAAAAAACACAGAAAAAACTGAATTAACAAAAGTTTTGATTTTTTTTGTTTTTTGAACAAATATTTTTGTGCTGCATAGAATATGGTATTAGCAACATGATTAATATACAGATTTCAAGCACCTGACATTATGGAAGTATAGTGGAGCACTAGTTTGCAATTCTAGAAAACGTATTTTTAGACTCTGCCTCTAGTTACTATTCTTGGACCACTTTTTTTTTTTTTTTTACTTTAAAAAAGATTATTTTATATGTATGAGTATTTTGCCTGAATGTGTGTATACTACATGCATTCCTGGTTGTCCATGGAGGCCAGAAGCAGACCCACTGGTTCCCCTATAACTGGAGTTACAGTTGGTTGTGAGCCTACCATGTGAGTTCTGGGAATGGAGCCCAGGTCCCCTGTAAGAGAAGCAAGTGATCTTAACTGCTAAACCATCTCTCCAGCCTTTGATTTGTTACTTCTGTCTGATGTCTCATTTGTAAAGTGAGATTATTGTTGAAATTATTTTCTGTTTCTTGATGTGTATCTTTGTATATAAACCACAGAGCATTAGCTATCTTATGTAATTTTCCTCATTTTTTTTTAAATCTTTCTTTGATTTATCTTTATTTTATGTGTATGAATATTTTACCTGCATGTATATGAATACACCCATGCATATAATACCCACGGACGTCAGAAAAGGGCATCAGATCCCCTGGAATTGGGAGTTAAGAGACTGAACCTGGGTCCTTTGCAAGAGCAGCCAGTGCTCCTAAGCACTGAGCCTCTCTCAATTTGTATAAACATATCTCTTATTACAAGACATTTTCTCAGATCATTTTCTCACTTATAGTTGATCAAAATGTCCTCTTGGTATACTGCTATAGCCCCTCCACTTTTTTTTTTTTTTTTGAGATAAGATTTTTTTTACTGAACATCGACTTGCACCAGTTGGCTAAATTGACTGACTGACAAGCTCTGGAGAATCTCCCCTCGATGTTAGGGTTGCAGGCACATGCCACCAAGCTGGGCATTTATGGGGGCAATGGAGATGGAACTCAGGTGCTGCAGGCACTTTACAGATGGTCTTCTCAGCTCGCCCAGTTTTTTTCAATATTAAAAATTGTGATTAGGCGGGCATGGTGGCTCATACCTTTAATCCCAACACTGGGGAGGCAGAGGCAGGGGAAATCTCTGAGTTCCAGGCCAGCCTGGTCTACATAGTGAGCTGCAGGCCAGCTGGGGCTACAGGGAGAACCTGCCTCAAAAAGACACCTCCCCAAAAAAATTGAGATAGGGAGATATTTGAAACTCTTGTATTATCATTTTTGTTTTTTTTGAGACAATGTCCAATGAAACACTTCTAGAACAAAAAGATAGATCTAGTAGGTTTTTTTGGGAACTCATTTGTTATAAGTGGTTGGATGTCTGGGCAGAGAAATTAGAATCTACATTCAAAATTGACCTGTCATCTAATAACACTGTAGTTTCTTTTGTTTGTTTTGTTTTGTTTTTTAAATAATGCCTATATTATAAGACGACATTTTATAAGTTTTAGAGTTGGGTAGGGTGTTGACATTTAGTTGCCTGTAAAGTAGCAGAGATCAGGTAGCTGTGTAAAAGGTAATAGTGTTTTTGCCATTTTGTCTGAGCGGGAGAATGGTCGTATGAAAACATTCTGGAGTCAGATCTGAATCAGATACCAGTTTTGTAGTTCCTGTGTTTTTTGTCCCCCCCCCCCCAGTATTTTGAGGTATGAGTTACATTGCCTACCTAATATCATTTTAGGATTAATTTAAAGAAAATGTACATAATAAGTTCTGAACAGATCCTGTTTTCCTTTGCTGTTCAGTAATTTGAGAGAGAATTAGTTGAGAATTAGTTGGCCTCACATGTGGATAAGTATTGAGAGGTGATTTTCCGTGTTGAATAGGCCATATGACCTGAAGAAGATAGCAGTATTTTCCTTTGAAGCTGAGTAGGCTAAAACTACTTGAGCACAGTGGTTGTCAGAGAAAGAAGTTTTATTTGTAGGTCTTATTTTGAGTAAGGGTGTGTTTGGATTAAATTTTAGGAAGATTAATATAAGTGTAGAATGGAAATGGAGATGAAATTTAGAGTTAGTTGTTTGGGTTAGAGTTAAAGTGAGTGGATACAATAGGAGTGGACAAATTTTAACATTAAGGACTCATGTTCTTGACACCCAGGTTTCATTGGAAAATATATTCTAAAAGATAGATCCAAATGGAGCTGGAGAGATGGCTCAGCGGTTGAGAGCACTGACTGCTTTTGGAGAGGACCCGGGTTTGAATCCCAGCACCCACATGGCGGCTACGAACCGTCCTTAGCTTCAGTTCCAGGGGAATCTGAAGTCCTCTTCTGATTTCCACGGCTTTGCATGACACGGGTGCATTCACATGCATGCGGGCAATACACTCATACACATTAAAAAAAAAAAAAAAAAAAAAAGATTCAAGTATTTAAATTTAAAGTATTTTTAGGTGTTCCCTGAGACTGTTTCTGGCATTATATAATTAAATGTTTAACATTATTTTTTTATTTTAATAGAAAGAAATGCAGGAATTGAAGCTAAGTAGCAATAACTCAGCATCCCCTCATCGTTGGCCTACAGAAAATTATGGACAAGACCCAGCTCCTGATGGATATCAGGGATCACAAACTTTTCATGGGGCTCCATTAACAGGTGAGTTGGCAATTAGATAATCCCTAGATTTTAATAAAATCATATTCCCCTCTTTTCATCTTTCCAGTACTGAGACTCAGTTCAGGGCCTCATGTTTGCTAGGTAAGTGTTCAACCTCTGCCCTTAGAACATGGACCAACTGCTTTCTTAGTTTTCTTTCTGAATGGTTGGTAAGCACTTGTTCATGCTGACAACAGCTGTGCTATTCTCTTAGTTTTTGTTTCATATTTCACAGTTTATTTTCTACTTTGTCATTTGATAATTGCTTTATAAATAGTGTATTTTGGTACATAGAAATTTAATCCATATAATTCAATCTTTGATTTTGATTCTGTATTTATAGTTCTTTTGTCTAGATAGTCTTTTTAACTGTAGTATAGACTTAACTGTTTTGTTTTGTTTTGTTTTTTCTTTTAGTTGCAACTACTGGCCCTTCAGTATATTATAATCCGTCTCCAGCATATAATTCTCAGTATCTTCTCAGACCAGCAGCTAATGTTACTCCCACAAAGGTAGCAAAGGCAAACTTTATACATTGATAGCTATTTACTTTTTAAATGTTTAGGTTTCCTTTAAAGAAATTCAAAGGAGTACTTCAATTATTAGAACTTTTGTCCTTCAAGATACAGGCATTTTAAATTTATTTTCAGATACAGAAATTATACTTCTTAGTTATCTTCTTTTTGTGTTTTAAGCAGTACATTGAAACTTGGAATATTTTTAAAGTAGAAGTACTAGTAGTTTTGAGGCTTTTACATTATACTGTGAAAGAAATAGGATTAGTATACCTTTGCTTTGCTGCACCTGGTATGCTTACATATTGTTGACCACAACTTGATATTATAACATTAGTTGAACATGAGGTTTTTCAGGACAGAGGGCTTGGGAGGGGGATGTGCATTTGTCCCTTGTTCTGCTTATTGTGACCCTGGACAAATTCCTTAATCTCTGCACATCCTAGGCCTCATATTTAAAATGAGAATAGTAATAGAATTGGGGGAATAATAAAATGAGATAAAATATTTAGAATAAAGCCAGGCATGATGGTACATGCCTTTAGTCCCAGCACTCAGGAGGCAGAGGTAGGGGGAATCTTTGTGAGTTCAAGGCCAGCCTGATCTACATAGCAAGCTCTTGGCCAGCTGGGGCTATAGGGAGACCCTGTCTCAAAAAGACCAAAAAAAAATTAGAGGAGTGCCCAGCTGATATATTAGTAAATGTTAAATAAAACTTAATCACCGTCATTATTGTTAACATCATTTGTTAAATTGTTTAGTAATGAAGTTTTTTTTTCTCTTTATTGTAGGTATAGATTTTAAAGATGCTACCTCATTAGTTTTCATTACATGCCAAGTATATATGCAGATATCTTTGTAGTAATGTTACTATTTCTTAATGATATGTAAAGTGTTATTTTTTTTACCTATTAATAATATTTTTATTTGAGGTTTGTAAGAATTGATTTGTATATAGGTCTTTATAGTTTTGTGAATAGTTTATAAAATATTTTAACTTTTTCTTTTAGGGTCCAGTTTATGGCATGAATAGGCTTCCACCCCAACAGCATATTTATGCCTATCCACAACAGATGCACACACCACCAGTGCAAAGTTCATCTGCTTGTATGTTCTCTCAGGAGATGTATGGTCCTCCCTTGCGTTTTGAATCTCCTGCAACAGGAATTCTGTCACCCAGGGGTGATGATTACTTTAATTACAATGTTCAACAGACAAGCACAAATCCACCTTTGCCAGAACCAGGATATTTCACAAAACCTCCAGTTGTAGCTCATGCTTCAAGGTCAGCAGAATCCAAGGTTATAGAATTTGGAAAATCTAATTTTGTTCAGCCAATGCCGGGTGAAGGAATAAGGCCGCCTATGACCACTCCAGCGCACACAACACAGCCAACTCCTTTTAAATTTAACTCAAATTTCAAATCAAATGATGGTGACTTCACATTTTCATCACCACAGGTTGTGACACAGCCCCCTTCAACAGCTTATAGTAATAGTGAAAGTCTTTTGGGTCTCCTGACTTCAGATAAACCTTTGCAAGGAGATGGCTATAGTGGGCCAAAACCAATTTCTGGTCAAACCATTGGGCCTCGGAATACATTCAATTTTGGAAGCAAAAATGTGTCTGGGCTCTCATTTACAGAAAATATGGGCCCAAATCAGCAGAAGAATTCTGGTTTTCGCCGAAGTGATGATATGTTTACTTTTCACGGTCCTGGAAAGTTTGTATTTGGAACACCTGCTCCGGAGCCGGCTAATAAAAATCATGAAACAGATGGAGGAAGTGCTCATGGGGATGAGGATGATGATGGCCCTCATTTTGATCCAGTTGTACCACTTCCTGACAAGATTGAAGTAAAAACGGGTGAGGAAGATGAAGAAGAATTCTTCTGTAATAGGGCAAAATTGTTCCGTTTTGATGGTGAATCCAAGGAATGGAAGGAACGTGGGATAGGCAATGTAAAAATACTAAGGCATAAAACATCTGGTAAAATTCGCCTTTTAATGAGACGAGAGCAAGTGTTGAAAATCTGTGCAAATCATTATATAAGCCCAGATATGAAGCTGACACCAAATGCTGGCTCGGATAGATCTTTTGTTTGGCATGCTCTTGATTATGCAGATGAGTTGCCAAAACCTGAACAGCTTGCCATTAGATTCAAAACTCCTGAGGAAGCAGCCCTATTTAAGTGTAAATTTGAAGAGGCCCAGAGCATTTTAAAAGCCTCAGGAACAAATGTACCCACAGCACCAAATCATACTATCAGGGTAAAAGAATCAATGAATCATGATAACAAGGATATTTGCAAATCTGATGCTGGAAACTTTGCAAAGAAAGAAGGGTCTTGGTGGCATTGTAACAGCTGCTCCTTAAAGAATGCTGCAACTGCTAAGAAATGTGTGTCATGCCAAAATCTAAACCCAAACAGTAATAAAGAGCTCCTAGGACCACCATTAATTGAAAGTGGTTTTGCTCCTAAAACTAGCCCAGAAAACGCTCAAGATAGATTTGCTTCGATGACTCCAAAAAAAGAAGGTCACTGGGACTGCAATATTTGTTTAGTAAGAAATGAACCTACTGTATCTAGGTGCATTGCATGCCAGAATACAAAGTCTCCTAAGAAAAATGGATCTTCATTTGTTCAAACTACTTTTAAATTTGGCCAGGGAGATCTTCCCAAGTCTGTTAACAGTGATTTCAGATCTGTTTTTTCTAAAAAGGAAGGCCAGTGGGATTGCAGTATATGCTTGGTACAAAATGAAGGAAGCTCTACAAAATGTGTGGCTTGTCAGTGTCCAAGAAAACAGCCTCAACCTTCATCTTCTGTTTCAGCATCTGACTCTTTTCAGTTTGGTACTTCAGATGTAACCAAAACTCCCAAGAGTGGATTTGAGGACATATTTGCTAAAAAGGAAGGACAATGGGATTGTAGTTCATGTTCAATGAGAAATGAAGGAAATGTTACAAAATGTGCTGCCTGTCAGAATCCTGTGAAACCGGGTCCATCAACTGCTGCTCCAGCAGCTGCCTCTTTTAAGTTTGGCACTTCAGAGGTGAACAAGGCTCCCCAAAGTGGATTTGAAGGAATGTTCACCAAGAAGGAAGGACAGTGGGATTGTAGCTTGTGCTTAGTCCGAAATGAAGCAAGTGCTACTCAGTGTATTGCTTGTCAGAACCCAAATAAACAGAGTCAACCTACACCTGCTCATCCAGCTCCTGCCTCTTCAGAGACAAGCAAGTCTTCAAAGAATGGATTTGAAGGATTGTTCACCAAAAAGGAAGGACAGTGGGAGTGTAGTGTTTGCTTTGTACAAAATGAAAGCTCCTCCTTAAAATGTATAGCTTGTGATGCCTCCAAACCAACTCCTTCAGCTTTCACAGTGGGCTCAAAAATGCAGTTAAATGAGTCTGCAGGAAGTCAAGCAGGAACAGGATTTAAAAATAACTTTCCAGAAAAATCTTTTAAATTTGGCATAACAGAACAAGGATTTAAATTTGGGCATGTGGAACAGGAAAATGTGCCTTCATTTACATTTCAAGGTTCTTCTACAGATTTTAAGTCAATTAAAGAAGGATTTAATTTTTCCATCCCTGTGTCTCCTGGTGGGCTTAAATTTGGCATTCAGGAACAGGGAAATCAAGAAAAAAAGAGTGAAAAGCGTCTTGAAAATGATAATAGTTTGCAGGCTCAGGATGTTGGCAGTCAGAAGAATATTAGTGGTGTGATCTTTGGTCAGACAAGTAGCACTTTCACGTTTGCAGATCTTGCAAAGTCAACTTCGGGAGAAGGATTTCAATTTGGCAAGAAAGACCCTAATTTCAAGGGATTTTCAGGTGCAGGAGAAAAATTGTTCTCATCACAAAGTAGCAGAATGACCGAGAAAGCAAATACTTCTGCTGATTCTGAGAAAGATGATGATGCCTATAAAACTGAGGACATTGATGACATCCATTTTGAGCCAGTAGTGCAAATGCCTGAAAAAGTGGAACTTGTAACAGGAGAAGAAGATGAAAAAGTTTTGTATTCACAGCGGGTGAAATTATTTAGATTTGATGCTGAGATAAGTCAGTGGAAAGAAAGGGGCTTGGGGAACCTAAAAATTCTCAAAAATGAAGTCAATGGCAAACTAAGAATGCTGATGCGCAGAGAACAAGTACTAAAAGTTTGTGCCAATCATTGGATAACCACTACAATGAATCTGAAACCTCTCTCAGGATCAGATAGAGCGTGGATGTGGCTAGCTAGTGATTTCTCAGATGGCGATGCCAAACTGGAGCAGTTGGCTGCAAAATTTAAAACACCAGAGCTAGCGGAAGAATTCAAGCAGAAATTTGAGGAGTGTCAGCGACTCTTACTAGATATTCCACTTCAAACTCCGCATAAACTTGTAGATACTGGTAGAGCTGCTAAGTTAATACAGAGAGCTGAGGAAATGAAGAGTGGACTAAAAGATTTCAAAACATTTTTGACAAATGATCAAGTAAAGGTCACTGAGGAAGAGAATACAAGTTCAGGTGCAGATGCTTCCAGTGCTTCAGACGCAATAGTCAAGCAAAGTACTGAGAACACTGGGCCCACCTTAGAATGGGATAATTATGACTTAAGGGAAGATGCTTTGGATGACAGTGTAAGCAGTAGCTCAGTACATGCTTCTCCATTGGCAAGCAGCCCTGTGAGAAAAAACCTCTTCCGCTTTGGTGAGTCAACTACGGGATTTAACTTTAGCTTTAAATCTGCTTTGAGTCCATCTAAATCTCCTGCCAAATTGAACCAGAGTGGAACCTCAGTTGGCACAGATGAAGAATCTGATGTTACTCAAGAAGAAGAGAGAGATGGACAGTACTTTGAACCTGTTGTACCTTTACCTGATCTAGTTGAAGTATCCAGTGGTGAGGAAAATGAGCAAGTTGTTTTTAGTCATAGAGCAAAACTCTATAGATACGATAAAGATGTTGGTCAATGGAAAGAAAGAGGCATTGGTGATATAAAGATCTTACAGAATTACGATAATAAGCAGGTTCGCATAGTGATGAGAAGAGACCAGGTATTAAAACTTTGTGCCAATCACAGAATAACTCCAGACATGACTTTGCAAAATATGAAAGGGACAGAAAGAGTGTGGGTGTGGACCGCATGTGATTTTGCAGATGGAGAAAGGAAAGTAGAACATTTAGCTGTTCGTTTTAAACTACAGGACATTGCAGACTCATTTAAGAAAATTTTTGATGAAGCAAAAACAGCCCAAGAAAAAGATTCTTTGATAACACCATATGTTTCTCACTTGAACGCTCCTAGAGAGTCACCATGTGGCAAAATTGCTGTAGCTGTATTAGAAGAAACTACAAGAGAGAGGACAGATGTAATTCAGAGTGATGATGTAGTAGATTCAGCTTCAGAAGCTGGAGAAGCACCTAGCACTTCTGAAACACCACCAAAAGCAGTGGTTTCTCCTCCAAAGTTTGTATTTGGCTCAGAGTCTGTTAAAAGCATTTTTAGTAGTGAAAAATCAAAACCATTTGCATTTGGCAACAGTTCAGCCACTGGATCTTTGTTTGGATTTAGTTTTAATGCACCTTTGAAAAGTAGCAGTAGTGAAATGACTTCAGTAGCCAAGAGTGGATCTGAAAAAGTGGAACCTAAGAAATGCGATCTGCCGCAGAAATCTGATACCAAACAATCTTCAGATGGCAAAGTCAAAAACTTTGTTTCTTTTCCAAAGGAGGAATCTTCAAGTAGTTACACATTTAAAACACCAGAAAAGGGTAAGTACTTAGTGGTTAGCATTAAGCATATTTTTTTGTAGGCACCTTGATGCAGATTCTTTGTAGGAACTAATATTTTAGTCAAAGTTGTGTCATAAACACTGGTTTGTGAACACTCAAAAATATTTGAGCAGATAGTTTTAATTCCTAAATAAGTTTACTAGTGAGTATTCACACTAACAGATGGTGAGTTAAGAGTTCATTAGGAAGGAAGAACAGAAGAACCCAGTACAACACAGAAACTCATCTCCTTCAATCATGAGCAGTAACTCGAGTTTTTGATGCTGATTCTTCAATGTTCTTTTTTTTTTTTAATCACTTGAAGCATAGATTGAGGTAGGTTATATGAGTTAGTTTTCCACCATTTATTAGCAAAGAAAGAGACCATGGGGATAAGTTAAGAATATGTAAGAGAACCAGATTGGTATAAATTGAGGATTCTGACTTTTTATATTTTAAGAATCATACTCATTTTTGTCTCACAATGTTAAATGAAATAACTCTCTATTTTCTAGGATTTAATTTTAGCCTTTTTAAATCTAATCCAATGGCCTTTTGGACCAGCACTACTACCTCACAGCCTGAGAACAAAGGTATAGAATGAGTATTCTCAGTGTGAGGTGACGAGCAGCTGGTAGTCCTTAGCAAAGTAACTGTGGAATTGAAGTACTTAACACTACAATGTGCATGTTAGAGAATGCTGTTTTATGAAGCATACTTTTTGAATGGTGGTGCAACGAACAACCTTAAATACTATTTTAAAAATGTGCTGGTTGCTGTCTTATGTTTTTTTTCAGTTTTTTGCTTCATTCTAGCTTATTCTCTTTTTTTAAACTCTGCTTAATGAAGACCTGTGTTTTATTTCTAACCTTTGTCTTTAGCCACTAATGTCTGCCTGTGTTCAAATATGATGGCAAGCCAGGTGTGGTTGCTCATGCCTTTAATCCCTGCAGAAGCAGATGTTCTCTGAGTTGAAGGACAATTAGGGCTACTTAGTGGACCTTGTCTCAAAACAAAATAAATATATTTGCATCAGCGTGCATATTAATACATGTTCCGTTAAGGATTTCTTTTTTTATGTTTAAGAGGAATGCTGTATTTGAAAGTAGGCCTCATTTTTGCAGCCACCGTTCTATAACTAATATGCTACATATGTAGTACAAATAATTTATAGAAAAATATGTAGAAATAGTGTTGTTTGACTAGAACAACAAGTGTATAGAATCTATAGAAGTCCTTTAAGAACAAATTAGAAAGGTAAGTCCAGTCATCTTGAGTATGCCAAACAAGTGCAGTGGTATCTAGAGTTTTACTTTTTTTGTCCTTTGTGTGACTGTATGATCATGTGTATAAGTTTGTGTGTAGGTGCTGTGTGCACATGTGTAGGATAGAGGACAACCTTGGATATTGTTCCTTAGACACTGTCAACTTTCTAATTTGTTTTTGATGCAGGCTCTCTCACTGGCCTGGAACTTGCCAAGTAGGTTAGATTGGCTGGCCAGTGAACTCGAGGGATTTATCAGGCTTTGCCTCACAAACAGTAAGGTCAAAATTGATGCCACCTGGCTTTTTTAATGCAAGTTCTAGGGTTCAAACTCGGGTCCTTCTCTTATAAGGCAAGCATTTTGCCAAATGAATATTCTCTCTGGTCCCCCTTCATTTTTTCAAGAATACCAGTTAATACTAACTAAGGAAACTCCTAGAATTTTTTTTTTTTAAAGAGTAACTTATTTTTATTTTATGTGTATGAGTGTTTGCCTGTATGCATGCATGTGTACCATGTGTGTACCTGGTGCCTGAAGAGAACAGAAGAGACTGGCAGATCTCCTGGAATTGGAGTTTCATCCCAGTATGAGCTGCCATATGGGTTCTGGGGACTGAACCTGGGTCTTCTGCAAGAGGAGCAAGTGCACTTAACTGCTGAGCCATCTCTCTAGCTCCAGAAACTATTATTTATTTATTTATTCAATTTATTTATTTATTTATTTATTTATTTATTTATTTATTTATTTATTTATTTGGTCTTTTTGAGACAGGGTCTCCCTGTAGTCCCTCAGTCCCTCCCTGGCCTAGAACTCACTATATAGACCAGGCTGGCCTTAAAACTCACAGAGATTCACCTGTCTCTGCCTTCTGAGTGCTGGTATTAAAGGTGTGTACCACCACGCCCAGCTCAGAAAAGCCTTTATTCTTATGGATGTAATCTTTAGCAAATTGTGTTAGGAATGTGAACTTGATCGAAGAAAAGTGTATATTCTTATATACAGTCTCAGTGGGCTCTAGGTTAAGGCTCCTTGGCCTAAGATTAATTTACCAATAGTCTGCTCCAGGGCAAGCATCTTTCTTTGTTAGGAATCTGACAATGTCATAGTTCCAGGGAACTTTAAGAAGACTTCAGACATGAGAATTGAGGTCTAGAAAGGCTGTCTGATTTACCCAAAGTCTTTTTTTAAACCAGGTATTAGTGGAACTGCAATAAGGATCTATATCTTGAGACTGTAATCTCGGGGCTGGGGTGGTAGACTGGAGGATTCCTGGGACTTGGGCCATGTCCACTCAGAGACAATGTTATCCAGGTTCAGTGAGAAATATTATCTCAAAAAATAAGGTGGAGAGTGATTGAAGAAGACAGTGTTGACTGTTGGCCTCTTTACATGAGTGCACACACAGAGGAAACACGTACACACATGAAAATATAAAAACAGTTTTTTCTTACAGTGTTTCTTTATAGTGTCTGGCTAGGAAATGAATAGTAAAATTTTGCTAGTACTGAAAGAGAGAGGCAAGTTTAACTAGGTATAAGGATGGGTACTAGCTTTCTTTTTTTTTTTTGGTCTTTTTGAGATAGGGTCTCCCTGTAGCCCCAGCTGTCCTGGAACTCACTATGTAGACCAGGCTGGCCTTGAACTCTGAACTCACAGAGATCCGCCTGGGACTAAAGGTGTGCGCTACCACGACCAATGGTTTTCTATAGTATTCATCCAATAGAAGTAAAATTACCTGTGTGTTTAATTTAAAGTTTTCTAGGAGGTACATAGAAAACAAAACATTGAAAGAAATAGATGGTATAAAAGAAAATCAGGCCAGGCATGGTGGCACAAACCTTTAATTCCAGGACAGGGGAGGCCCAGTCTTTGAGATTGAGGCCAACTTCATCTACATAGTGCGTTCCAGGCCAACCAGGGCTGAATAGTGAGATTTTGTCTCAAAAAGAAGAAGAAAAAAACAATTTTAATAATATTTCAATTTGATGTGTATGTGCAAATTATTTCAAATTTCTTATCAGTTAAAAAACAAGGTACTTCACATTCTTTTGTTGTTGTTCCAAGCCCTTAGAATCCAGTATGTATGTTCATACTTTGAGGGTATCTCAGTCTGGTTTAACCACCTTTCAAGCTACGGTATTAGACATTGTGGCTTTAAATAATGCTTCCCTAGTACTAATTGGTACATGCATATTTCACAAGTGATTAACTTTATCTGTGCTTTTAGATAGAAATTCTTCATAGACCAGAACAGATTGCATAGAGGATTTCTTTTCTCTCCCTAATTTTTTGCACTTTTCATTGGTTGGCAGTGAATTAAGGTTGTTTTTAGCCACAGAAATTTTCTTAGATTCTTACAGTGTGACTCACAGGATGTTAGTTTCACATTTGGAAGTATGTAGAAGATGGGTACAGCTCTTTCACCTGCCATTCTTTGCAGTTGTTAACTCTATAGGAACTAATCCGGTTGGCTCTGTATTCGTTTCATTTGTATACTAATCTTTGCTTATCAGATAATCCAAAGATTTTCTTCAAGTTGTAAATGCATGTATATTTTGCTGAATTACTGTTTAGTATGCCAAGTGTGATCCTATAATTGGATTATAGAAATAAGTAGTTGTTTTCAATGATTAGTAAGTTATAGCAAGATTTTTGAAAATTGTGTTCTTGACGAGTTTTTAGTAGAACACAAAGTAAACCAGGTTGCTAATTACAATTCATGATTATAGTGCTTGGTTTACTCCAAAGTATGTGTTTTTATTAAAATAGTTTGCTATTTTAACTTATAGATAAATTCTATGCTTTATTTTTAGTTATACTAGTAACACCTTGTTTTATCAGGGTTTTTGACTTGATTTACAGCAAAAGAGAAAAGTGAACCTGAAGAACCCCTCTCAGATGATGATGTTATAATTGTTTATGAACTGACTCCGACTCCCGAGCAAAAAGCCCTTGCAACCAGACTTCAACTTCCTCCAACTTTCTTCTGCTATCAGAACATGCCAGATTATGTTAGTGAAGAAGAAGAGGATGGTAAATCTTTTGTTACTTAAAATCACTCTTCCTGTAATCTTAGCAATCGAGTATATCGTTTATTATTTACAACTTGACCCTGTTAGACATGATGTCTCGTGCCTGTAATCTTCAGCACTTGATAGGCTGAGGTAGGATAGCCATAAATTTGAGGCCAGTTTGAGCTACTTAGTGAGTTCAGGCTAGCTTGAGCTGTAGAGTGAGATCCTATCTCAAAACAAAATGAAAACCAGACTTTTAGAACTTGACTAATATAATCAGAAGATGACATTCATTAAAGAAGCTTTTTTAAAAGAATGGTTATGTGCCAGGCATATGTTTTGAGGAAATTGAAAGTAATCATAATTCCAGAAGTATTAAAGGTATGGGAGAAAGATCAGGCAGATAGTTTACTGGTGGCAGATAGTTTACATACTTGTATGCTGTGACAGGGTTATTAAGTTGGGCACTTATGAATGCCCTCCAAGTCCTAATAAGATTAATTGGGCTGTGATATAGAATGTTGTGTTGTGGGAGCAGGAGATGGTGCTGTGCTGAAATGAAGGCAGTGTACAAGCATGAGAGGGCTAAGAAAACCTTCCACCTACTAAAATTCGTTTATTTAATCATATTTGAAGATGAAGATTTTGAAATGGCTGTCAGAAAACTTAACGGAAAACTTTATTTGGATGATTCAGAAAAATGTAGATCACTGGATGAAAATCTAGCAGGTATGTTAAGTTTATGTAATTTTAATGTTTTACATCTTTACCAGTTTTACTTATGTAATATATTCATAGTCATTTAAAATATTTAAAAATAATAGTGGTTGAAAAACATTAGTTCATTTTGGTGGTGGGCCGTGAGGCCTCATAAGCATTAACAGCCCTTTTTACCTACATTTATAAATTAGATTGAAGACTGCAGACTGCCCATTTTTGTTCCTGGGTGGATTTCATCTGATTGTATCTTTTGCTTGTATGGATTTTTTCAGATAATGAGAAAGAATGTGTTATTGTTTGGGAAAAGAAGCCAACCATTGAAGAGAAGGCAAAAGCAGATACATTAAAACTTCCACCTACATTTTTCTGTGGCCTCTGCAGTGATACTGATGAGGACAATGGAAATGGAGAGGATTTTCAGTTGGAGCTTGAAAGAGTTCACAAAGCTCAGGTTAGACGGTCTTCATTGTTTTCCTTTCAGTTCTCTTTACCATCTTTGTTGATGCAGTAAATTTTATCGAGTGGTAATAATGGGCCTTGGCAAGCAAGTAAAGCTGGTCATGGTGGTGCAAATTTAATCCCAGCGCTCGGGAGGCAGAGGCAGGTGGATCTTTGTGAGCTCAAGGCCAGCCTGGTCTACATAGTGAGAGTTAGTTCCAGGCCAGCTGGGGATGCCGGGAGACTCTATCTCCAAAAAGACAAAAAACAACCCAGAATCATTATTCATGGATTAGAAGTCAAAATAATTAGGATATTAAGGCCAAAATTAAAACACAGATTAGATTTAAGATTACATCAGCCTCAAAAACGCCACCAGGATTCTTTATGGATATAAACAAGTTGATTTTAAAGTTTCTTTGTACAGTTGCATTATATCTGATATTATCAGTAACCCTACTTTGATATATTTGTAGTTTTGTGTAGTTTTTAACCCTAATTGAATATTAAGTTGTGTCACTTCTTACTGTCTCTTGCTGCAGAATTACAGATCTTTTAGTTAAATTTATGGATGATACTGACATTCCTGGGAAAGACTTCACTTGGTCCTGGCATATTATAATATTGTATCATTTAGGTTCTGTCTGCATAAGTTTTGTTACTACCTTTTAAATTTATGTTCTATAGATAGATTGGTTGGTAGTTTTCTGGTATTCTGGAACTGGAGAGAGGACTTAGCAGTTAGTATACTTGCCTCTCGCAGAGGACTGATTGGAGTTTAGTTCCCAGCATTCATGTGAGGCAGCTGACAACCATTTATTACTTCAGCTCCAGGGGATCTGATGCCCTCTTCTGGCCTCTGGGCACCTGTACTGACATGTATACAATCTCACACATACACAAAAATAAAAATAAAATGTTAATGCTAGTATGGTAAAGGATTGGAAAATATCCTGTGCTTCTATTTTCTGAAAGAGATGGTGTCAGATTGATGTTTCTACTTAAGTGTTTATTTTAACCAAAGAAACCTTAAAGGTCCAGACTATAGAAGTGAAAGGCTATAAGAGAACACTATTTAGAATATCTGTTTAGGTTATCCTTTTGTTACTGATGGAGTTCTAATTGTGTCTTTGAAGGAGTTGTTAGATTTATCCGTAGAATTGTAGAAGAATCCATTCTTAATCACTTTTGGTTTTGGAGATAGGCTCTCATTTGTAGACTAGTTTGGAATATTTCCTTCTCAATCTCTGAAGTCCTGAGATTATAGATGTTTGCCACCACTCCTGGCCCCTATTATTAGTTCTTTCTAAAAAGGACTTATTTTTAATTATTAGAAATTATCTATATGCATGTGTGTGTCTTATGTGTGGGTATGCATACACGAGTGCAGGTGCTGGCAGAGGCCAGAGGCATTGAATACCCTTGGAGCTGGAGTTACAGGCAGTTGTGAGCCTTCTCACATGGGTACTACTGGGAATTGAACTTAGATCCTCTGCAGCAGTAGCAAGCACTCTTAACTGCTGAAAGCCCCCTGCCCCATTATCAATTCTTTAATGTATGTAAGCTCAGTATTGAACTATCCTATCTTCTTTGCTATTTCTTTATTGATCTGGTTAAGAAGCTCATTAATATGATGAATTTGTCTTGTTTTCTGTTGTCTTAGGTGCCCCCCTCCCTTTTGTGGTGCTTGCACGCCCCCCCCCAACAGATTTTGGCTTCATTCCTGTCCTGTCCCCCCAGCCCCCAGGTTGAATTCCATTGATTTCTGCTCTTTGTTTTTTTTATTGCCTTGGGTTTATTTTACCCCTTTCCTGTTTCCTAAAATGGAAGCTTAAGCATGGATTTAAGACCATAGTCATTGTTTATGCAAATGGAATGTCCCTAGGCACATTTTGTAAGTTTTAAGATGTGATGTTCTCACTTCTATTCAGCTCAATACTTTTCATACTTTCTTTAAAAAAAAAAAAAACAACAACTATGCATTGGACAGTTGTATGCCATTTAAAAAAGATGGCTTTACATATTCTGTTACTGATTGATCATTTAATTGGGTTATGGCCTATTGGTATATTCATAGTTACATTAGTTTACATAGTTTGCATTGCTCTGGGTGTTGTACTTTGTATGACTTATCAATACTTTTCATACTTTCTTTAAAAAAAAAAAAAACAACAACTATGCATTGGACAGTTGTATGCCATTTAAAAAAGATGGCTTTACATATTCTGTTACTGATTGATCATTTAATTGGGTTATGGCCTATTGGTATATTCATAGTTACATTAGTTTACATAGTTTGCATTGCTCTGGGTGTTGTACTTTGTATGACTTATTGTAAATGTGGAACGAGTGAATACCATTATAGATAGTATCCTACTGAATGGCTTCTTTCAGTAAATTTTATTATTATTATTTTATATGTATGAATGTATTGCCTGCATATGTGTAAGTGCACATGTATTGTGCAGTGCCCAAGGGGGTCAGAAGATGGCATCAGATTCCCTAGAACTGTTAGTTACGGACAGTTGTTAGCCACCATGTTGATCCTGAGAACCATACCTGGGTCCTTTGGAAGAGCAGCCAGTGCTTTTAACCATAAGCCACCTCTCCAACCTCCCAGAATGGTTTCTTTGCCTTAAAAAGCCTGTTATGCTTTGGTTTTCATCTCATTTCTTCTTTCATGTCCAGATGCCTGGCACCAACTGATCTTTCTACCATGATTGCCTGGGTATTGGTTTATAAGCTACAGCAGAACTGAGATTGATGGGTGGAAGTATATATAGAGGGAAGTGAGAGGAGGTCAGTATTGCAAACTGAAGTTCACAGTTTGATGAAAACCTCCTTAGGTTACTGTGGTTCTTTGGTTAATTTCTAAAGTAGATGAGAGAATTTATTTTGATCATCTTTGTTAGTGTTTTCATTGATTTTTATGGAGGGACATATATAAGATTGTTCTTACTCTGCAATTCCAGGAGGGTAAATTGATCCTTTCATTTTGGTCACACTTCATCACTTGTAATTTCCTTGTCTGCTTTGTTTGAAAAAGAGAATTCTCTTTGTGTGTGTGTGTGTGTTGTATACTCTTTTTTAGTCTTTTATCTACTCAACTTCTCAAGTTCCTTCCCACACCTTGGGCAGCATTGTGTTCATGTCCTGTTTGTGGTCCTTCCCTGTGGTGTTCACCCCCCCCCCCCCCTTTATGCAGCTAAATCCCTAACCCAGAGTGGATTCTTTTGTTGTTTTTAAATTTTTGTTACTTTTATGCGTATGAGTGTTATGACTGCATGTGTGTAACTGCCCCTGTGTTGTACAGAATCCATGGACGTCAGAAGAGGGCATTGGATTCCTTTGAAACTAGAGTTATGGACAGTTAGCCAACGTGTGGGTCCTGGGAACTGAAACTGGGTCCTCTGCAACAGCAACCAGTGCTCTTGACCACTGAGCCAACTCTTTCATCCCCTCTTGTTTTAAATCTCATTGAAAAACCTTTTTACTGGTGATTAATCATTAACATTCACTAAATTAGTGAGGTGATTGGGTTTAAATTTATTGTTTACTTTTAGTTGTGCCTGCCCCTTATTTTTCATTACTGTTCATTTTCTTGCTTTTTTTTTTTTTTTTTTGTTTTTACTGGTTGCTGTAGAGATTATAAATACATACCAAACTTTGTATAAACTGTTTGCTATTTTCCTATTTCTTCCTCTTTTTTTTTTTTTGGCGAGGGATAGGTGGCTTATTAGTATACTGTTTTATTCTTTGCTCTTTTCAGAAATCCCTGAGTGAGAAAGTAACTGATGCAGCTGGTAATGAACATACAGGTGGAACTGAAGTTATAACACCTTTTATCTGTAAGTCTGAAGAACCAAGTGCTCCCACCAAACATGTTAGCTCATCTTTTTCTGGGATTGTGGACAAGCCTGTAGATTTGACTACCAGAAAAGAAACTGATGCAGAACCCCCAAATCAAGGTAAATATTGATAATGTGTTTATATCATGCAGTATATAGGATAATGCTTATATGCGTGAGGAGATAGATTTTTAATGGTACATGGTAAGAACTTGAAAATTTTTGAGGTGAATGTAGGAGCATAAATTTTTTGTTTTTGTCAGAGTCATACTGCCTTGTCAATAAAGACAGTAAAAAATTTATCATTAGATTTTAGGTTATTAGGGAATACATTCATTAGATTTTAAGTGATTAGGGAATACAAATGTCAGGAATATCCTATTTGCCTAAGAATAAAGGACAAGTTTATTTGTTTGGTAGTTTTCTTGGTGGCAATATTTTTACTTGACTATTGTTTGCATAAATATCGCTCAAACATATTCATAGTGCTTTAGTTATATGAAGTAGAAGTAGGAGCTTAAAATTTTTATGATACTAAAATTTCTTCAAGCCTCAGAGCTTGCTAACTTACCTTTTCAGTTGCAGTAATTACTAATAACATTGATGTCTCCCTCTTTTAATTCTTTTTGAGGTAGAAAGTCTCTTTGCAAATTGTATTTCTTTATACATGTACATTATCTACATTCCTTTTTTTAATGTCAGAAATAGTCTTAAGTGACTCACAAATAATATATGTATGGACACATTAGAATCTTAATACTCTGGAAGACAAAAGTAACTTCATATCCAAACCTCTATCTTTTCAGATGAATTAAGTAGGGCAAAATAGTTTCAGAGATCATGCAACTATGTATCACTAGAATTCAGACAAGACCCCCAACTTATGATGAACAAATGTAAATGATACATTTGATTTTTATGAGCTTATTTATAGTATAGAACACAGAAAAAGTTTAGTTCAAGTGTCAACTGCTCTTACAGAAGACTTGAGTTTGGGGCTTCTCACTCATGCTGGGCCGCTCACAACTACCTGTAACTCTGTCTCTAGGGGATCCAACGCCCTCTTCTGGCTTCAGCAGGCAACTGCACTCATGTGTACAAACCCACACACAGACATAAATATGTACACATAATTTATATATATTTCTACATATAGTGTGTGTGTGTGTGTGTGTGTGTGTCTTTTTGAGACAGGGTACCCCAGCTGGCCTGAACTTGCTATATAGACCAGGCTGGCCTTGAACTCATAGAGATCCACTTGCCTCTGCTGGGATTAAAGGCGTGTGCCACCATACCTAGCTTAAGATATATTTTTTAAAAAGTTACTACAGATGTTTCCTAAAATTTACTTGTTTTAGGGTATAAAAAACTATAAAGTTGTATATCTAGCATAGTATGGATAGCTCTACATCTCAATTTTTGGCATATATTTGGCTTAGAATAGTACCTGTAAACTTAATATTACTGCATAAGTTTGGAGCTGAATGCATTTTGTAACATAAAAAATATAGTTTGTGGACTAGAGAGATGGCTCAATAGTTAAGAGCCCTGGCTGCTTTTGCAGAGGACCCAGATTTGATGCCCAGCACCCACATGGCAGCTAAACTGTAACTACAGTTCCAGGATATTGGACGGTGTCTTTTGACCTCCGTGGGCATTGCACGGCATGGGTGTACTTACTTACATGCAGACAATACACATACACATAAAATAATAAAAAATAAGATATTAAAAAAATAGTTTGTGAAAAACAAAGCAAATCTTTGGCTTGAATTTGAAAACATTTTAGAAGAATAAATAGTACAATTTTTAAGAATGTCATTTGTAACCTCCCCTTGCCCTGGAGTATAGAAAGTCTTAATACTGTTCCTTCTGGGTCCTATGTGTAAGGCTTTGATGTTAAGTATATCTTAAGCAATAAATTTTTTTTTTTTTTCCTTTTTACCAGGGGAAAGTAAGACGGTTTTATTTGGATTTGGAAGTAGTACAGGGCTATCATTTGCCGACTTGGCTTCCAGTAATTCTGGGGATTTTGCTTTTGGTTCTAAAGGTAAGATTAAAAGGAAATATTTTCATAATCATACTAATCATGTATAACTGGAAAAAAAGAAATCCCAACAATCCTTTCAGTCTTGTGACTATAAGTGAAGTGTTGCTGTCCTTGGTTTGCTTAGTGTTTTAGTAATTAAGGGCTTTTCCATTATTAATGATACAGCTATAAGGATTTTCTCTTCATGTTGAAAGTCATTGAAAGAAATGATACATGAATGATACACAAATATGTTTTTCAGTTTTGTAATAACCCTTATTTTGACAACATTATCCTTTTTTTTTGGCGGGGGGGAGTCTTTTTGAGACAGGGTCTCCATCTAGCTCCAGCTGTCCTGGATTTTTCTATGTAGACCAGGCTGGCTTCGAACTCACAAAGATCTGCCTGCTTCTGCCTCGAAAGTGCTAGGATTAAAGGCGTGCACCACCACACCTGGCCTTAACTGTATGTATTCTTAAATTTGATTTAATATTTTAGGATTTGTGACTTTTTAAAGAAGACTACTAATTAATTGTGTAGTAGTAAGTTTATAAATTTATGTGCTTTCTCATTTATCAGTGGTGTTCTAATTTTAATCCACTTTGGTGACATGTGTCTAAAATAGATTTATAGAAATGATTGCTTCCTATTTGTAATTTATTAGTATTAGAAAAGGTGTTTGGAGAACAGAATTTATTGAATGCTAAATTAAAAATTTTAGTTCATTTCATGTTTTTACACTTTTTTTTATATAGATCCTGCTACCTGTAGAAACATTAAACTTTTAGAAGTGACTGCTTTTACGTTAGAATTCATGGAATTCACTAATACTAAGCTTTTGTACTTTTGTTTTAATCTATTTAATAGCTTGGAATTAAATGGTGGGTAGTAAGTTAATTATCTGGCCCCCTCCCCCCAAGCCACACGAAAATAGATAGTGGCTGCTTATTATTTAATGTAAGCTTTTCGGAGTATTTTGTCAGTGCTTCACTCTAAAATAGGAAATGGATGAAACTTAAGTATCGGGTAAGAACCTTGTCTTAATAAATCATCATTTTGGGGTTGGAGAGATGGCTCAGTGGTTAAGAGCACTGTTGGTTCTTACAGAGGACCTGGATTTGATTCTTAGCACCCAGATGGTAGCTGACAGTTAAATCCAGTTCTAGGAGGCTCTCATACCCTCTTTTGACCTCTGTATGCATTGCACGACAGAGGTGCACTTGCATGCATGCATTACACTCATACACATACAATAAAATAAAAGTAACAATAAAAAATCATTGTGGGCTTAATCTCTTGTTTTTTTTTACTTATTTGTTTTGTTCTTGGGATGTGAAGGTACTTCTTTTGTACTTACCTTTTAAAAGAAGTAGCTTTTGGCTTTATTTCGTACTCTATTTGTTAAATAGGTTTAGATCTTTTTATTTCATTTTCTTCTTTGTATTTTCTTCTGTGATGAATCCTTACTTTAGTTTTCATTTTCTAAAAACAGTATTTGATCCTATAAATGCGCTGCAATGTTCTGTAGAGGTTGAGATCATCAGAACAATATCATGTTAAACATTTTAAGTGTGTTGAAAATAAGGTGCACTGATGAAGTAATCTATAAAAAGTAAAATTTGAAAAATTAGATTCCGTTGTTTAGTATATCCTCATTCATTCATCAGATAAAAATTTCCAGTGGGCAAATACTGGAGCAACTGTGTTTGGAACACAGTCAACAAATAAGGATGGTGAAGATGAAGATGGCAGCGATGAAGAAGTTGTTCATAATGAAGATATCCATTTTGAACCAATAGTCTCACTACCAGAGGTATGTGTCAAGAAGTGGACATTTTAGTAGCAACTTCCCTGGCTTGTTTTTTTTCCTTTTTCCTTATTTGTATTTCTTTAAGAAGATTTGTAATTTATGATCTATTTGTTAGATTTTCAGTTTCTAAGTGTAAATTGTCTTGAATTTTTTGGCATGTGGTGCTGGGTACCCAGGGCCTTGCTTGTGCTAGGCAGGCACTTTATCACTCAGGCACACACCCTCAACCTTGTCTGGAAGTTTTTGTAGACATGCTGCACTTGGTAAATTGTTTATGCAATTGTTGGAAAGAAATATTTTTCTTTTTACTATTTATGTGTGTGCATGTATATATGCACATATCACAGTAAGTAGTATGTGGTGGTCAGAAGAGTTGGTGAGAGTTGGTTCTCTCCTATCATGGGATTGAACTCAGCTTGTCAGACTTATGTGACACACACTTTTACTCACTGAGCTATCTTGCTGTCTCATAAATATTTTTTTCTATGTTCTTAGAACATCATATCTGTTTTTGTAATTCTGAGGATAAAATGTTTCCAATACTCAGCAAGAATCTAAATTCTTTGGAGAATATTGTTTGAGAAAAATTATCTTGAACTTTTTCAATCTCAGTCATTACTGTTATTCTTTAAGATAATCAGTACTTTTGGGTAGGGGTGTTAGTTTTTTGAGGCAGTTTTTTTTATATAGCACTGCCTGCCCCGCAATTCACTATGTAACCCAGACTGACCTCAAACTCTGGTAATAATACTCTTGCCTATCAACCTCCAGAGTGCTGGATAGTGGCTTGAGCCACTATCTAACAATATATAATAGAAAAATATTTAATAATGCAGCATGCCTTTACTGTATATCCTTTACCAAACCAAATGTTCCACTAGTCCTGAGATATTTTGTTATCATGATACTGTAAAACCTGTTAATGCTATTATATATATACTAAAGAACTTGGAATTTATTATAAACAGCACTTTATATATTTTCTCATCTGTTGTCATAGGTCGAAGTAAAATCTGGAGAAGAAGATGAAGAAATTTTATTCAAAGAGAGAGCCAAACTTTATAGATGGGATCGAGATGTCAATCAGTGGAAGGAACGAGGAATTGGAGATATAAAGATTCTTTGGCATACAATAAAGAATTATTACCGGATTCTGATGCGAAGAGACCAGGTCTTTAAAGTGTGTGCAAACCATGTTATTACCAAAACAATGGAATTAAAACCCTTAAATGTTTCAAATAATGCTTTGGTTTGGACTGCTTCAGATTATGCTGGTGAGTTTCTACATTGAAATGCTACTTTTTAGTTTGAGTTTTCAGAAATCTATAAACAACAAGACTGTAAGTTATTTTAATATTAAGGTCATTTTATTTTCCCAACAGATGGAGAAGCAAAGGTAGAACAACTTGCAGTGAGATTTAAAACAAAGGAGATGGCTGAGTGTTTTAAGAGAAAATTTGAAGAGTGTCAGCAGAATTTATACAAACTCCAGAATGGACAGGTGTCACTCACAGCTGAATTATCAAAAGAGACCAATCCTGTGGTGTTTTTTGATGTTTGTGTGGATAGTGAACCACTGGGACGTATAACCATGGAATTATTTTCAAATATTGTCCCTCTAACTGCTGAGAACTTCAGAGCACTATGCACTGGAGAGAAGGGCTTTGGTTTCAAGAACTCTATTTTTCACCGAGTAATTCCAGATTTTGTTTGCCAAGTAAGTGTTGCGATACATATCACAATTGAAATCTCTTTAAGACTATACCACACCAATTTTGGGAATTCTTTTTCTTCTTGACCTCACTTAAAAAAATATTCAGCTTTCCCACACAGTAGTTGGCATCATCATCTAATACTCAGAACATTCAAACTGAAAGGGTCTAGATTTCTGTTACTTTATACCAGCTATAAATAGAATGAGGGAACAGCCTTTTTACTTCTTTCAAAATTAGGTATTTGGGAGCTGGAAAGACAGCTCAGGAGTTAAGAGCACTGGCTCCTCTTGCAGAAGACTCAGGCTCTGTTCCCAGCACCAATATGGCAGCTAACAACCACCCATAACTTCAGTTCCAGGAGATCCAATGCCCTCTTCTGACCTCTGAGGGCAGTGTAGGACAAGCGTGTACTTATACACATACGAGTAATACACTCATAAAAATAATAAATCAAAAAAAAAAAAAAAAGCAAAAGTAGGATTTCTTAGTTTTCAAAATGCATTCTTAAAGAAGCTAGGTGTTTGGGATTTATCCTTTAGTGATGATTTCTCTCTTTTTTATCTGAGTCAATATTCCAATTAATAGAAATATTTTTTTATTTCCAGGGGGGTGATATCACCAAACATGATGGAACAGGAGGACAGTCCATTTATGGAGATAAATTTGAAGATGAAAACTTTGATGTGAAACATACCGGCCCTGGATTACTATCCATGGCCAATCGTGGTCGAGATACCAATAGTTCTCAATTTTTTATAACCCTGAAGAAAGCAGAACATTTGGACTTTAAGCATGTGGTATTTGGGTTTGTTAAGGATGGCATGGATACTGTGAGAAAGATTGAATCATTTGGTTCTCCCAAAGGGTCTGTTAGTCGAAGAATTAGTATTACAGAATGTGGACAGCTATAAAATAATTTTTTTATAGTGAACTTTATCGGTGTATGCAGTTGAATTGATGCTTAATTGTTACAATATGGTAATGATGTTCACCTTTTGAAAATGGTCGTTTCCAATGTATAAATGTAAAATTGCAGCTTATAGCTGTTGTCACTTTTTAATGTGTAATAATTGATCTTGCATGGTGTGAAATAAAAGTTTAAACACTGGTGTATTTCAGGTGTACTTGTGTTTATGTACTCCTGACATATCTGTATTAGAATGGATAATACTAATTTTGTTAAAAGCAATAGGCCTTTCCAGACTATTGAAGGAATATGATATATGCAATTTTATTTTAATTCCTGTTAAGATATTTGGACTTCCTGCATGGGTATATTTACCATTTGAATAAGGGGACCATAACTTGGATAATTTTATTTTAATCTGAAATATATATGATAATCTTAACTATTTGTGTGCTCATTTATGTATAGAGACTCATTTATGAATGGATAGAGCCACAGAAGGTAGAGAGTTAACCAAAGTGCTCTTCTGTAATTTTTATGCTCCTGTATAGTTGAAAATTAACTTTTAAGTAGAACACTGTTTTTTCTTAAGATATGTAGCTTCCTGTGCCCTTTTGAAAGAATCATTTTTTACATTTCAGATAAGTCGATCATCTCCCTAGCTAGCTTTTCCCTTTTCTCTCCTTCTCCCCCTCTTTCTGTTATCTGTCTCTACTACCTCAGAAACTTCAGCTTGGTCCTGATGATAGAGTTAAACTTTTCTCTAGTTATTGTGATAAAGTATGAATATTTTTAAAGGTCTATACCATGTTCTTTGGTTAAAGATTTGCTTTATATTAGATTGTTGCAGTACCTTTTTCTGGTGAATTTTGTAGCAGAAATAAAGTGATAATTGATAACAGCCATGACATTTAAAAAATTCATTACTTGTGCATCCAAGTTGTCTGTTCATTCTATTACTAGGTAGATAAAAAGTGAGAACAGTTGAAGGTCAGCACTGTGAACCCCCAACTGCTACATAATTTTCAAGAGTTCATTTAAATTTTTTTTGTCTTTTTGAGACAGGGTCCCTCCCTGTAGCCACAGTTGGCCTGAACTTGCTATGTAGACCAGACTGACCTTGAACTCACAGAGTTCCACGTGGGATCAAAGGCATGTGCCACCAGGCCCAGCTAATTTTCAAGAGTTTAATATACACACTGAAAGTGTACTTAGAAGTTGCTTGTCTCAAGTTAGGCTGTTACAGGAAGGAGATGTTCTTATGGATCTATCCAATACTGAAATAAAAGAAACCTACCTCAAATTGGCTTTCTAAAGAGAACCATTGGTTACATATATGCTCATTAAGTATTTAGACTTAGCTTCGAAAAAAGGATTGCAACTTTCCAGCTGAGACAGTGGATGCCATCATTTTAATCTTGAGATACCGTGCAGCCTCAGCTGGCCTGGGACTTGCTATGTAGACCAGGCTGTCCTCAAATTTAACAGAGATCTGCCTGCCTCTGCCTTTTGAGTGCTGGGATTAAAGGTGCATGCCACCACTCTGAGCACCCCACCCCTTTTTTTCTTTTCGTTTTAGATGGGCTTATGTAGCATGGATTAACTTCCTTTGTAGCCAAGGCTGGCCTTGAACTCCTGATATTCCTGCCTTCACCTCTCCAGTGCTGGGATTATTAGTGTGTGCTACTTGGCAGGACTGTGCAAGCTTTTAAAGAGATTTTTACAGATTTCTTTTTGCTACCTCAAACCATTAAGGTTATTAGAGTTTTCAGAAATTTGATAAATTAGCACCTTAAAATAACTTTTCCACAGAGCTGGAGAGGTGGCTCAGTGGTTAAGAGCACTGGCTGCTCTTGCAGAGGACCTAGTTTCAGTTCCCAGCACCCACGTGGTGGCTAATAAGCATCCATAACTCCAGTTCTAGGGGATCCAGGGCCTTCTGATCTCTGGGGGCACTGCATGCACATGGTACACTTACATACCTGCAGGCAAAACTCATTTAGAAAGGTAAAACCTGGGGCTGGAAAGATGGTCCTGCAGTGGGGGGACCCAGATTTGATTTCCGACACCCACATGGTGGCTAACAACTAGTTACAGGGGATCCAACACCCTCTTGACCTCCAAGGACATTGCATGACATGGGTGCACTTACATGTACTCATACACATAAAGATATATTTTTCAAAAAAGTTAAAACCAGGGCTGGAGAGACAGCTCAGCAGTTAAGAGCACTGACTGCTCTTGCAGAGGACCTGGGTCAGATTCCCAGCACCCACATGGTGGGTAACCACTGTCCATAACTCCAGTTCCAGGGTATTTGTTGCCGCCTTTTGACTTCCGTGGGCATTGCACAACGTGGGTGCACGTACACACATGCAGGGAATACACTTAAAAAATAAAAAATTTTTTTGGTCTTTTTGAGACAGGGTCTCCCTGTAGCCCCAGCTGGCCTGGTACTATGTAGACCAGGCTGGCCTCGAACTCACAGAGGTCCCCCTGCCTCTGCCTCCCAAGTGCTGGGATCAAAAGTGTGTGCCACCACACCTGGCAAGAGGACCTGGGTTCAATTCCCAGCACTCACATGGCGGCTAAGAACAGTCTATAATTCCAGTTCCAGGGGACTCTGGCACTCTCCTCTGACCTCCGTGGACCTTGCACGACATGGGTGTACTTACATTCAGGCAATACACTCATACACAAAAAATAAAAATAAAATTTTAAAAAGAAAAAACCTTCCAATATTGGTATTGATAACAATTGAAAGATGAAAGCTTAAGGCATTTACGATTTTTGATACATTTCAGAACAGTGAGTGATTTGTTATTTAATCATTCTATAAACTCAAACACGTTTTTTATCAAACTGGATTTTGTATGCTCAGTAAAATCTGCCGAGTAAAGACGGAATAAGTAGCTATATGTTTTAATCCCAGGATTTAGGAGGCAAAGGCAGGCAACTCTCTGAGCTCCAGGCCAGCCAGTACTATACAGTGAGACCCTTTCCCTAAAACAAAAGGTATTATACCAGTGTAAGTGTCAGAGAGAAACTGACCAAGTGTTTTAAGTCAGTTTAAAACAAGTTTTTGAGGTGATAGGCCAGTAAAAATTGACCAGTAAATTTTTTGGGGGCGGGGCAGGGTTGGGGCTTATTTATTTTGAGAAGGTAGACTAGGCTGTCCTGCCTGCCTTCTGCGTGCTCTGTTTTTGCTTTCGTTTTTTAAGGCAAAATACACGTTTTCAGGGAGTTTTCGTTCTTAAAAGTTTTTTCCCCCCCTCTGGTTTTATAAGGTGAGGACTTCCTATGTAGCCCAGGCTGCTCTCCATATGACTGTGCACCGCATCCTGGCCTCCTACCTCCACCTTCCATGCCCATCTCTTAATTCATTTTAATTGTTACACTACCTATGGAAAGGCAAGGCAAGTGAATAGGTTTATGTGCCTCCCTGTTCCAACATTGGTTTTTCTTCTGTATGACAGCAAAGGCCACTTTGGATGAAGAAACGTGTGTTCCGCTAAGTCATAATGCACACAGGACCTCACTGGGGCAATTGATGCCAACCCTGAGTTCCAGGGCGGCGCTCCGCAGCCGAAACGCTCCTTGACACTCAGCCCTAAGGTTCGTTCGCTGCCTGGGAAACACCTGGACCGCCCCAAGCGACCCTCCGATTTCCTGAGTAACCAGGTTGCCCCCGCAGTCCCTTGTTAGGGGGCGGGGCCGGGCGTCATGACGCATTGACGCTTCGCCCTGCGTGGGTGGCTGTGAGCGCGTTTCCCGGGGTGACCGCCGGCAGCGGCTGGCCTTGGAGCCGAGGTTGGTCAAGCCGCCGGGGCAGGACTTCATAGCGGAGCGTCTCAAAAGCCGCTGCGGATTGGCGTGCAGCTGCCCCGTGGAGGTGAGGCCGCGGTGGGCTGCACTCTGGCCGCGGGGATCGCGGCCCTGGGCTGACTCGGGGCGTCGGGAGCCTGCGGAGCGCTGGGCCTTGGCTCCCGCGACAGGGCGCTGCCGCAGGGAACGAGATTTCCCGGTGCGCGGTGGTGGGGTTCTGTAGGAAGTATTCTACTTGCACTGACAAGAGGGAAGCGAGCACAGAAAACAAGCTTCTTAGTCTGAAGTAATTTCAGACGTACAAGAAGGTCGCAGTGTTCTGAGTTCCTGTACCCTTCTTTGAATGCACAGTTAACGTTTTGCCACAGTTGCTTTGTGACCCATCAAACCCTTCTCCCCCAGCTGAAGGTAGTTTGCTGGAACTGTACTCCTTTGCCCCTAAATATAAACCCTCAAGTTTGGTTTGTCTATGAATAACTACGTTCTCTTTCATAGCTACTCAACTATTTTCAGGACATTTGGCATTGTTACAGTGATACTGGGTAGTTCGTATTCAGATTTCACTATCTCAATTATGATTAGAAATTTTCTTCGTGGTCCAGATATAATTAGGAATGAACTGTGCAATTGGTTGTCTCGTTGCTTTTAATCTGGAACAGATCCTTTTTTTTTTTTTGTAACATTAATGCTTTTCCAAGGAGAAAGATGTGTATTAGAATGTCTCTCAGTGTGGATTTGTCTGATGGATATACCTCCTGATTAGATTCTGCTTGTGTATTTTGGCAGGAATACGACAGGAGTGATATGTGGGCTGCTTTGACGAATCAACAGGTACATGATGTTGGTTTATTAGTGATGCTAATGTTGGTTGGGGTGATGCCCACTCTGTTTCTCCATGTTAACCTATATAATTTATGGGAAATATTTTAAAGGAGTAAATTCATCCTTAATGTACACATTATGTATGTCTTTTTTTTTCTTAGCATGAGTTTTCACATTTTGATGAGGCTAAATATAAGAGAAAATTTCAAACCTCCCCAGGTAAGCCAGTAGAATAATTAGTATATTTGAGTGCTTTAACAAATTTTAGAAATTTTTTTGTAAATGTTTAGACTTAGAGCTAGTTATTTTTTATACTAAATTTTTTCAATCTGGTAATGACTTTAATAATAATCATGGTTTTAGGGGGTAAATGTGTGAGATGTCTTTGAGGGTTTTCTGGTTGTTGCTGTTGTTTTTTGTTTTTTTCCTTTGTGTGTGTGTGTGTGTGTAATTTATGATATGTCTCTTTTTTTCCTCCTGTGGTGCTGGGGTTGAGGCCAGGCCCTGTTCATGCCAGACAAATGTTCCCTTACTAGCCTGCATCCCCAGCTGGTATGTCTGCTTTTGAAGATGTTAAAAATGAGCATATTAGGCGGGCTGTGGTGGCACACTCCTTTAGTCCCAGCACTTGGGAGGCAGAGGCAGGTGAATCTCTGAGTTCTGGCTAACCTGGTCTACAAAGTGAGTTCCAGGCCAGCTGGGGCTGCAGGGAGACCTTGTCTCAAAAAGACCGAAAAAAAAAAAAAAAAAAAAAAAAAGGACTATATTGGTTAAAGAAAACTAATAGCTATTTTTTGGCATAAACTTTTCTGAGTTAGTGGCAGGGTAACTAAAAGAAGAATTTATCAAGTAAGTGTACTTGGAAAAGATAATTATACTGTGGGTTACGTGGGTTGTAATATTTTGTGATAATCTAAAACATTTCTGTGGTAATTTGTATTAACCATTAGTCTGTTTACTAATACTTAAAAGTTATCTTTTACTAGTAAACCGGTAATCATTAATTGAAGCATAGTGTCTTTAAGTTCATCAAGCTGTGGGGGCTGGATCTGAGGACTGACTGGTGAGTGGACAGCAGTATTGATCTGATCCGATTTAGGAAAGGGGGCTCAGACTTGACTGCCAAAGTATCTTACCTAATCGTAGAGGACAGATTGATGCTCTTTAATAAAAGAATAGGGGCTGGAGAGATGGTTCAATTAAGAGCATTGACTGGGGTTTGGTTCCCAGCACTCCCATGACTGCTCAATCATCTGTAATTCTGGTTCCAGGGGATCTGATACTCTCTTCAGGCCCCCTTGGGAATCAGGCAGATACATGATGTACACACATACCATGTAGGCAAACACTATAAGCATAAAATAAAATTTAAAAAAAGCATCGCCGGGTGTGGTGGCGCACGCCTTTAATCCCAGCACTCGGGAAGCAGAGGCAGGCTGTGAGTTCAAGGCCAACCTGGTCTACATAGTGAGTTCCAGGACAGCTGGGGCTACAGGAGACCCTGTCTCAAAAAGACCAAAAAAGAAAAAAAGCATCAATCAATTTGGGAATAAGTTAAAAAGCACTCAATGATACACCCTATCAGAGATGCCTGCAACGATTGAATAGAGCTAATAGAGCACTTTAGAAAAGCCTGTCTGTGAAATTAAAGAAGGAAGAACGGTTTCTATTTCTAGGGTATCCAAATGAGTCTGCAGAAAGAATAAGCATTCAAGGGAAAAGAAAGGATGGCTCTTAAAGTTGATTGCTGAAGTATCAAGCAAAAAGCTGGAACTGGACAGGCTGACAGGAAATAGCCAGGCTCTTAACAATGGATTAGAAGAAAGAAATTATTGCCACTGCTAGCAGAGCTAATGAAGAGAAGTTGAAAGACTTTAGAAATCAGCTGACTTTTAAGTATTTTATTTACCATTTTTATTTTATGTGTATGAGTGTAATACCTTCATGTGTGTAAGTATACCTGTGTTGTGCAATGCCTGTGGAGGTCAGAAGAGGGTGTTGGATCCTGTGGAACTGGTTGTTAGTCACCATGTGAATGCTGGGAACCAAACCTGGGTCTTCTGCTTAACCACTGAGCCATCTCTCTAGCCCCCTCAGGTGGCTTTTATAAAGGTTGACTTGGATTAGAAACAGGAAAATTTTATGGTGATAGATAAATTGCAGATTATATTCACTAATATTGACCCCTAAGTATCCTGTGGGCCCATTTATTTTCCCTGAATTTAAATAACACAAGTTGAATTTGCAGTGATGGACAGTGCTCCTTATCTGAGTGCCTGGCAGAATTTTAGGAGAATGTAAGAAACAGCAACAGTTTTCAGCTTTTCTTGCCAATGTTTGTTAGCTTTTACTGCTGTGGTCTATACTTAATGTTTGCATAACATTTGAAAACTTCCTTTTCTGTTGTTTTTATAAAAGAATTGTCATCTGTTGTCTGCCTATAATTCTTTGGCATTTTGAGATATTTTTGTGTGGTATGATGGAAGCTAGAATACGTCACCTCCAAATATGCCTCTTTGATATAAATATAGTTAAGAAGGAGCAGAGGCAGAAAAATCTCCCTGGGACTGGAGAGATGACTCAGTTAGTAAAGTGCTTGCTGCATAGGCCTAAGGACCTAAGCTTGGATCCCCAGCACCCATGTAAAGGCCAGGTGGCACACTTCTGTAATCTCAGTGTTGGAAGGTGGAGACAGGAAGAACCCTGGGGCTTGCTGGGCAGCAAGTTTAGCTGAATCAGTGAGCTCCAGGTTCAGTGAAAGAAACTGTTAAAAAAACAAGGTGGAAGGTGATTGAGGAAGACATGCATGTCAGCCTCTGGCTGCCACACTGATGCACAGATACCTGCATGCACACCCACATACACCTACACGTATGAACACATACATACACACACATTAAGACAAAAGAAAAGCTTCCTCGTTTCCCTCTATCTGCCTCAAAGCAGGCATAAAATTGTAAAAGTGCATAAAATTGTAAAAGTGTTTTTTGTATCTACGTGGAAGGATAGAAGTTAATCTCTGAAGAGATCTTTTACCAGTTCAGACATGGAACCCATAGACTCAAAGGAATCCACAAACCTTACTTCCTTTGTTTACTTCCAACTTGCATTCCCACAGTTCCCACTTTTGGAAGCAAAACTTCCATCTTTGTCATGTCATTTCCTTAAAAAAATTATTCTTTTTGAAGATCCTGTGTAAGCCAGAGTTCTAAGCCATGGTTTAAATACCCTTTCATTGAGGTTTCTCTTGTGTGACATTGTTCTAGTTAGCTTTCAATAGCCGTGATAAAGACACTTGGAAGGAAAGTGTTTATTTCATCTTACATCTGCCAGGTCACAGTTCATCAGTGAGGGAAGCCAAAGCGGGAACTCAGGGCAGGAACCTGAAGCACAGACCATGGAGGAATGGTGCTTACAAGGCTTGCTTGACCTGTGTTCAGCTTGCTTTTTTATAAATACAAGACCACCTGCCCTTGGGTGGCACTGCCCACAGTGGGCTGGGCCCTCCCACATCACTCAACAATGAAGAAAATGCCTCACAGACACAGCCATAGGCCAGTCTGATAGAAGAAATTCCCCAACTGAGGTTTCCTCTTCCCAGGTGTGTCAAGTTGACAACTAAAGCTAGCCAATGTGGATGTGCACTGCGTACATTAAAAGTAGCTTGCAAAAACCATTTTAGGAAAAAAAATTTTCAGGGAAAAAAAAGCATTTCAGAAAAAAAAGAAAGTAGCTTGCTAACTAGTTTTTTTGTTACCACTGTCTCCCAAGTATGACTTTGAGGGTTGAAAAGACATTCATTGTATTTGCTCACTAGCATATTTCTTTAAATTAATTAAATTTCAGGGGGGAAATTAATAAAGAATAACAGGGGCTGGAGAGATGTCTAAGTGGTTGTGTTCACACTGCTCTCCCAGAGGACCTAAGTTCAGTTCCCAGAACCCAGGTCAGGTGGCTTACGACTGCCAGTAACTCAGGCTTTAGAGATTCTGACACCATCTTCTGTCCTCTGAGTATCTGCATACGTGGCACAGACACACACACACACACTGAAAAATAAAAATCCTTTAAAAAAATGGTGTACACCTTTAATCCCAGTACTCAGACGGTTGAGGCAGGCAGATCTCTGTGAGTTCGATGCCAACTTGGTCTATATAGTGAGTTCTGGGCAGCCAGGGCTGCATAGTGAGACCCTGTCTTAAAAAAACACCACCAACAACAAAACAACAACAAAAGAGTGACTGTTAATAAACTGCATATTCGTTTTTTGTTTATATATCAGATGTGCAGTGGTTTATGGCTTTCACTGGGAATGGGAATTTTCACAACCTGAACTATGTCTCAGTGTTCCCTGAGCTTCCAAACCCCAGCTTCTGAAGGTTTTGAACTCTTAAAATAGTAAATTGTCATAGATTTTTTTTTTTAAATCATCAAATGTGGTCAGACATGGTGCTACATGTCTTTAATCCTAGCACTGGGAGTCAGAGGTAGGTGGATCTCTGTGAATTCAAGGCTAGTCTCATCTACATAGCAAATTCCAGGCCGGCCAAAGTTATATAGTGATTTTCTCTCTCCCCCACTCCTTTTCCCTCTCCTTCTCCCTCCTCTCCCTTTCTCTCTCTCTCTGCCTGCCTCTCTCTCTCCCTCCCTCCCCCCCTCCCCCCCACTGTCTCTCACACATGCGTGCCCACACACAAAGTTCATCAAATGGCTTACTAGGTAATTTCATATTTTTCTAAGCTTATTACATTTTAATTTTTGCAGGGGGCAGGCATTGTTTATTTGAGCTGACATAGGCCCCATGCTCAACGCCACCACTGCCATAGGCTCACATGAATCAAGCCTCCAGTCTCCTGAAAGCCTCCACCCCCCTGTGTTCATGAACCAGCCCTGGCTCTTACAATCTTTCCACCTCCTTTTCTTCAGTGGTCCCTGAGCCATGGATGGGCAAGGTTTCGTATAGGATTCCCATCCTACTATCTATAGTCTCTTATTTTCTAAAACTTGGTCAGTTGTGGCCTCCTGTGTGCATCTCACACTGATGTACAAGGAAGCCTCACTGGTGAGAGTTGAGGGGTGCATTAGCCCCCTCTCTCTCTACCCCTTATTCTACTATGTTCCATGGGCCTTGTAGAGATTCGACTGTAGATGTGTCACCTAGAACTGGGCATCTCCCAGACGTATGTTCTCTGTGCCTGACCAGATGTGTGACTCTGCAG